TCGCAGACTGAGCTGCGAGGTTTCAAAAGCAAGACTCGGGTTTCAGGAGGGCACAGACCTCTGACGCCTCCATGGGCTCCGGGAACAAGGCCTGTGGCCTCGTCGGGGCCTGGGGTGGGGGCCCCACCGTCCCCAGAGCACCTGTGAGTCCTGATCAGACGGAACCCGGGGAGAGCTGCCGGCCTCTGGCCTGGGTCTGGGCCTGGTGCTGGGCACCAGCCCTGGTGTTGACGGGTCAGTGTTGGGGTCGACCTGAGTGAAGAGCAGAGCTGGGGGGCCTGTGCGGTGGGCGAGGACGGGGGACAGGAGGCCTCTGTGGGCACCCACTGTCCCCCTCAGCTCTACGTCAGGGAGGCCCGCCCTGCACCCTGACTTCCCTAAGTGATCAAGGGGTCTGTCGTGGGAACGAGGCCACTTCTGGATCCCCCCGAGGACGGGCTGGTGCCGAAGGTGCCACCGGGTGCAGAGAGGGTTTGAAGTGTCCGTCTCAGGCCCCATCTCGGACCTCCGGGGACGGGCAAGGGGCCATAGAAACACAGGGTTCGGAGCTCCGGGCTGGTGAACACGGGAGATGTGGGGAGATGTGGGGAGATGTGGGGAGAGGGCTGCCTGGAGGCCCTGGAAGCCCCGCCCCTCCCCCCACACCTGTCCTGTGCACCAACCCCGGGGGCTGTTCCTGGGCGCAGTCCTCTCACGGGAACTGTGCGGGGTACAGTGCGTGTGGGGACCCCCGTCTGGTGAGAGGCTGGTGCGGGGAGGTCAGCACTGAGGCGGGTCACCAGGGAGGGAGCAGGTGGGCGGTGGGCGGGGCGGGGCCCTGACAGGGGGCCCCGGGGCCGCGAAGGGAAGTACCTCACATCTGCAGGAGCGTCTCCCTGGTCTCTGCAGAGCAGAGGAAGCTCCTCGCGAGGGCGACCTGACTCCAGAGTTAGGACGCGAGCCCAGGGGTCCGCCTGAGCAGAGACCAGGCGGGCTCCCTGCCCCCGCCCGCCCCTGCCCCGCCCCCGCCCCGCCCCTGCGCTGTCCCGGTGTGTCCCTCTCCGCTGGACTGGCCCCTCTGCCTGTGGCCTCGGTTCTTCACTCAGCTTCTGCGGCAGGGCAGCTGGGGCTGCTGGTCCCGCCAGGTGACCGGAATGGACAGGGAGGCGCCGGCTGCGGAGTCCTTGGCAGGCAGTGGGCTTCAGGGCTCACAGGGCAGACGGAGCCTGTTGTGCTCACGACTAAGACCTACCGCCAGGGACCAAAGGCCAATGTGGAGAGCAGTGCGTCCCTGGTGTTTACAAGCTGCCCGGCGGGGGGAAGACACCTGCCCAGGGAAGTAGCTGCTCCGGGGGAAGGACGGACAGCTCAGGACCTGGGCTGAAGCGGCCGTGTCTATGTGAGCAGATCCGGGCGTTCTATTTTCAAGTACTGTTGAATTCAGATAGAAGAAAAACTATAATTGATCAAGGGAGGAATTTACTCGACTGTGAGACCACTGGTTTCAGGGCCAGTGACAGACACAGTTCTCGGGGCAGACAAGTTCGGAGGCGATGGTCAGACTCGGGCGGAATCTGCCTCGGGGGCAAGGGACCCGACTGGGCTCTGCAGCTCCCGCGTGTCCGGATTCGTGCCCGACGTGACCACCGCGAGCCGCTGCTGGGAGCACCCGCCCTGGTTCTGCGTGGAAGCGAGAGTTCTGGCCGTCCCCTCGTTCCTGGGCTGGCCTGTGTGGTGTGGCCGCTGTCCCCGCGGTCCGTCAGGGGCCGCAGGCGTCCAGGAGACGTCTGTGTGGACAACGATTTAGTCTCGAGCCCGAAGGCTGGCCCTCCTGCTTGAGTGACCGCGCGGGGATGCAGAGGGAGGGGCCGGGGCCCTGCGGAGCTGGCGGTCAGCTGGGGCTGGGCACTGGGTCAGGCCTGGCCGCAGGGCAGGGCCACCCAGCAGCCTGACCTCCTGGGCCGGCCTTGCCAGCTCCCAGCTAAGACTTCTTCCTTCGCCTCCCAGCTCCTTGCACGGACGCGTGTGTGTTACTGGTTTGGGGGTGTCGCTGACTGGTCTTTCTTTGTAAAGTGTCGGGAACCTGGGGTGTTCTCAGGGCGTCGTGCCTGCAGGTGGGTTCGAGTGGTGTGTGTCTGCGTTCAGCCGCAGCGGCACCTGAGCCGACGGCTGTCTGTCTGAGCTGTTCTCGGGCTGCCCCTGTGGCAGACTCCCCACCTCTCAGGCCCCGGTCCCCAGAACCTGACTCCAAACAAGTGAGTCACGGTTTCCAAGGGGCCTTCTGCCCACACTGGGTTATTTCCGTGCGGTGAGGTCGCTGCTCAGGCGGCTTTCATTTTCAGTAACCACAGGCTCGGTTGCCTTTTGACTTCACGGTGAAAGAGAAAGCAGCTTGGATTCATGTAGCAAAGGCGTCTTCAGACCTCCCAGCGTCACGTGGCCCGAGTCTCATTGTGAGACGCAGGCAGGCCGGGGAGCAGGCACCGTCGTGGCTGGTCCCCCCCCCCCCCCGCAGTGCTCCGCCTTCAGACTGGGAAGTAATCTCCCCAAACTTGAGAAAGCCTCTCACAATGGACACTGACTTTGTTTTTGCTTTTTCTATCCTCATCCGAGGACATTTTTCCATTTTCTGTTCAGACAGAGTGGGAGAGAGAGAGAGAGAGAAACATCGACGCGAAGGGACACATCGAGTGGCTGCCACCCGCACGACCAACCAGGGTCGGGGACAAACTGCAACCGAAGTACGTGCCCTTAGCGGGAACCGAACCCGGGTCTCTCCGGACCGCAGGCCGACGCTCTAACCGCTGAGCCAAACCGGCCAGGGCGTGGACACCGACTTTGAACCGACGGAAAGCTGTTTGGTTGGGCCCGGGGAACAGCCTTCGGGGCCGGAGTGGTGGACAGCCGCTCCGTGGGGAGCACGCGCGGTGGAGGAAGCACACAGAGGCAGGGGTGCGCTGGGCGGCGCGTGTCAGTACTTCCGGCTCTGGTTTCGAACGTGGTCCGTGCTGTGAACACCCATAGAGAGCTGCTTCCTGGGCTGCGAGGTCCCAGCGCGGAGGCCCCGAGACTGGCTGTGGGAACAGCTCTTGGTTGTGTCCGTTTTCCGTCCCAGTTTTAAACTGGCAGCAGGACCTCTGCCCTGGGGTCTTACAAGATCGCTTTCAGATTGGATGCGTCAACACGCCGGTCATTTATCTAGTCTCCATGGAAATGAGGCGGATTCTTTCCTTTTTTCTTTCTTTCTTGTTCCTGTAAATACTAGTGTGATGGTGAATTATATGTGTCGACGGGGCTGGGCACCACGCTGGGGCGTGTGAGGGTGTCTCTCGTGTGAGGGTGTCTCTGCGCGACTCGTCTGAACGGGGGCTGAGGGAAGCTGACGGCCCTCCCACTGCCGGTGGGCCTCATCCGAGGGAGGAAGGCCCCAAAGACACAAAGCTGCCCCCCGAGAGGACCCCCCTGCCTGACTGCGCTCAGCTGGGGCACCAGGTGTCTCCTGCCTTTGGACAAACTGAAACATAAACTCTCTGGGTTCCGTTTGCCAACTGCAAGTCTTGGGACTTCTGCGCCCCCACAAACGTATGAGCCAAACCTTTAGGATAACTCTCTGCACTGGTTCATTCTCCGGGAAATCACAACGAGCACAACCCGTAGGACGGAAATCAGGGTTCAGCCTTTTGGCCCATCGGTAGTTAACTCCTCAGGACTACGGGCTTAAGGGCCTGCCAGCCCCCGCGACGTCTAGGGAGATGGGGTGTCCGGGGGAAAGGACAGGAGGAAGCAGGAAAGCAACAAAAACACCCCAGGAGCCGAACCAGCAGGGTCTGTCTGTGCAGGAGCATCTGGGGGTGACAGGTGCACCAAGACCGCGTGTCCCGGGCCCCCAGGCAGTGCCTGTCCTCCCGCTGTGGGGACGACGGAACACAGTGGCCGAGAGGGACACAGGGCCGGGCCCTGGGCGGAACTGAGCATGTGAGGAGACTGGGTTCGAGGCACACTCTGCACAAGGAGCCAGGTGTGCAATTAAATTGCGAGACTTTTCCTGCCCTAGAAATTATAACTGAAACTATAGCTCAGTGCTCTCTCCTCTGGTCCCTCCAGGGCATCGAGGCCCGTGCCAGGCGTCGGTGACCAGGGTGTCTGACGCTCATGTTCGTGAGGGGGGGCGAGGCCAGGGCGTGTCCGGGGCGTGTCCGGGGCGCCTTCCTGAAGGGCCCGTGCCGTGCGCTTGTCGGTGGGCGGCGAGGGGCAGGGGTGAGGCTGTGTCCGGGCTCGTCCGGCATCGGGAACCAGGGTCCGTTTCCCTCCCTGCAGACGCAGTGACGAGGACCAGTGTCCTCATCGCGTCCACCCACTCGTGACGTGACCGTGAGCTCGAGGGGGGCGGGGAGACGCCCACTGTGCTAGGAGTGAGGACACTGACTGGAGGCAAAGCGTTTTCTTTCCGTGACTTGGGAGAATTAACATTTGTTCTTGGGAGGGTGGGTGTGTTCGCGCCTTCAACAGACACATACAAAACCGGGGTGGGGGGCGGGGGCACAGAGGTGAGAGGCCCCAACAGGAACCCGAGGTCCCAGGCCGGGCACAGGGTACCTGGGGCCAGGATGCAATTCGGGGTCACGGGCCCTCCTGGGACTGGGTGATGGGGGGCCTGAGCCGACCCAGCCTGAGCACCCCGCGCACAAGGTGAGACGCAGCTGTCCACCTCCCCGCGGCAGGGCAGGGGCCAGAGCCCACCTGACTCCCGCCAGAGGGTGCTGAGGGGGAGGGGCGTCCCCACACCCGCTGCCCCGGCCGCTCCGTCCACACTGCCGGCCCACCGCCGAGAGGGCAGCTCAGCTCAGCCTGCCGCCCGGCCGAGGTGCGCGGCTGCGCGGGGGGCAGAGGGCGCGGGCCGTCCGAGGCCCTGTCCTGAGAACGGGGGCCGCACAGGCTGTCAGCAGAAATCACAGATTTATTGACTCTGAAATATATCAACCCGTCATTTACCATTATGGCAAGAAATACAGACAGTGTCCACCGCCACTGCGGGCGGCGGGCGGCGGGTGGACGGGGCCCTGGCGAGCGCCGCCCCCTCGAGGGCGCGGACAGACTGCGCGACGGGACACTGCAACACCACATGCGGAGTTAAAAGTGTAAAAAACCACTTTACACCTATTTTAAAATACACACGGGCTGTGCACAGCCGTTTCACAAGAGGACCGGGGCGGGCGCGGCAGGGCCCGCTGGCAGGTGCATGGCGGACGCATGCACGGTGTGCGTTCCGTCTACATGTGCGCATGGTTTGGGCCGTGGAGTGATGGTCAGAAAGCTGCAGCCCGCCTACGGGACGTCCGCTGCGGCGTCTAGGGAGCCGTGAGCACGGGAGGCGGTGGGAGGACAGGGCTGTGCGCTTGCTCTGCTCCTGGCTAAGCTCGGGCTGTGGGGACGGCGGCCCGCTGGGGCCACGCGGAGGGACATGCACTTCGGGCGTCGGCAGGGCGAGACCTCAGAACACCGGCACCGGCCTGGTCTCTGCGCACGGAGACCCCTCGCTGCGCAGGGCGCGGCACTGCTCTGACCAAGGGAAGCTGGACGCGGCCACGGCCTCTCAGGTTCAGAGCAGCAGCCGTGACCCACACCTGCGCCGTGGCTTCTGCACGGACCTGGTCCCAGGACACGGCCTCGCCGCCCTGTGCCCACAGCAAGGCCCCCGCGTCCTGGCCGGAGCCCTGACCGTGTGTGTGGGCCTGGAGATGGTCGGACTCTGAGGGGCTGGGTGGTCACTGCATGTCGTCTGCGGGTCCCTCTCCTCACACACTACTGGGCGGAACGAAAACAGTGAAGGGGAGACGGAAAAGAAAGAAATGGGGTCAAGGAAGCAAACAGCAGATCTGAGACTAAAGGTTCAGTCCAGCACGTTCCCGGAGCGGAGCCGGCAGAGCCTCGGGGGTCAGCTCGGAAGCCGGGAGAAGATGGTTCACGTTTGACCGAAACGCCGACTTGCCGCTCTGCCCCCACGCCGACCGCGGCCCTTGGTGCCCAACTGCAACGCCTTCGGGTAAGATCCACCTCCACCAGGATCACACCAGGAACACGGAACGTGTTGTTTGCCCTTTTTGTTAAATAAGCCAAAACAGATGAACAGCAAAGAGTTTTTAAAATGTACACATCTCTTGAAGACCGTCCTGGAGGACAGCAAGGGGAGTCCGCTGAATCTTGGCATAAACAGGAACGAGTAGGCGGCACTGGAGGACGTGGCTGGGGGCGGCCTCCCCACTGTGCGCCCCACGGCGAGCGTCAGTACGGACGGGTGATGTGAGGTGGCCTCGGGCACGGGCAGGTCCCCGCCAGGTGCCTGGAGGCCAGTGCAGCCGCGGCCCCGGGCGTTTAGCTGCAGGAGGAAGGGGAGACGGTTAGACAGACGGGTGAGCCGGGTCGCGCCCTCGTCGCTCAGCCAGGCAGCAGGCTGGAAGCTGTGCTTACGAGAGAGCAGCTCACGGCCGTTCAGGACAAGACGCACGTGCTCAACAGACAATATTGAAACAGGTCTCAGTGCTAATGGTCTGCTGGACTGTCCACACAGCGCTGAGCGGAGAACAGACAGGGACCAGCTTCCGTCACGTTATTAGATCTAAATACACATTTAAAGCGTTCACGTTCCCCAGCCAACAGCACGTGAACACGGCCCCTGGTGGGAGCAGACTGGCGAGCTAAGTGCTCGCGGCCGCGCTCCCTGGGTCAGGCGCAGCCTCGGCCCTGGGGCTGGGCGGCGCTGGGTGACGGGCCCTGCGCTGGCCTGAGCCTGTCGGGCCCGAGACGAACCTGCAGCAGCCGCAGCACAGGTGTGAACTTAATTCTCGTTGGTTTAAGTTACAGGCAGACGGCAGATTAAGGGACGTGCCAACCTTTGCCCTGTGTTTCAGGAACTGTGACCTCTTGAGACCCAGGGACAGGAAAGGACCCCGGAGCCGGCCAGTGGGTCTGGACGTTGGACCGCTGCCGCACACCAGGGACTGGCTCCGGCCGCCAGGACCCCGGGTGTGGAGGGCCCGAGGCAGCCTTCAGCCTGCGGGGAGCTGCGGTGTCCAGGCTGTCTCGCCGACCGCGGTGCAGAGAAACCTCCTGAAGGGGGCAGCAGCCTGGACTGGTCACCCCCTGGACGGCCAGTCTGTCCCTCTTTGGGGCAGAAAACACACAACGCGGGGTTTCCGGGGCCGGCAGTCCTGCCGCCTTTCCCGAGGTGCACAGCTACACTCTCGGACCGAGCTCCGACCTTCTGGCCCTCGGGCCCACTCCGCACAGGCCCCGCACTGTCCCCCGAGCCCCTCAGCTCCGAGAGGCCCACCCCACCCCCGGTGTCAGGGGCGAAGCTGGTGAGAACCTGGTGTGCTCAGGAGGGCCACACCTGCAGCGAATCACCTCTCGTTTCCCGTCGCCAGGGTCCCAGGGGTCCCTCCACGCACTGGGGGCCAGGCCCTCGGCCACAGGCAGTGAGCATCTGGACACTGCGTCCCCCACGTTCCTGAGCTCCGCCCACCCGCCCTCTCTCCCTCTCGTCACCCGAGAGCTTCTCCAGCATCTCTGGACAGTCACCTCCACACCGAGGCCTGGTTTCTGCGCCGGGCACTGGCCCACGCCAGCGAGGTGGACCAGGAGGCTCCCGGAGAGGCCCGGGGCGGAGGTGCGTGCCGACCTGGGCCTGGCCGAGCACCACCACACCGACCACGTCAGGAACGGCTCCGTTGCTCCCTCCCGGGGCCTTGCCGAGGGACACTGCTGTCTGCCTTCTCGCACGAGCTCCCCACGAACCCCCCGAGCTCGCCTTCCAGGGCTCCTGCTAGTTCCCATGGAAACTGGAGACCGGCTCCAGGCAGCTCCCGGCCACAAATGGCCAGTCTGGGCGGGTCTCTCCCGAGAGCCACAGACGGTTTCTCAGGACATGCCAGGCGCCGGCGGAGGGCGGGACACTCACTTGACGGGCACGGTGGGCGACCCCGAGCGGTGGAAGTGCACGTTCTGCCACTTGCCGTCCCGGCGGTGCCACACGCGCGTCTCCTCCGACTGCATGGTCTTGGGGGCGCCGCTGCCGTCCGTGTACTGGGTGAGCCGCACGTAGGCGATGCAGGCCGCGTCCTCGCCCACCAGGTGCACGTGCGGGTTCAGGATGATGGTGTGGATCGGCTTGTTGCTTTTGGACAGAGCTGCGCAGGACAGAAACACAGAACCTGATTCCTATGGAGCGGAACCCAGACCAGGGACTTCGGTTGGGATCGGTGCCGGGAGCCGATCCATTCGTTCAGTCCGACGGGCGCCTGACCACTGAGAGCTGGGCCCTGAGCTCAGTGCAGAGAAAGAGAAGGAGACTCAGTCATTTTCTCTGGTTCCCTGTGGAGACGATGCCACTTGGGAAGGTTCGATGGGTGGAAAAGGGACAGTGTTCACCGGCCGTGGGAAGTGGTCAGACCACAGCTGCGGGGCGGGGCGGGCGGGGCAGGGGTCTTTCCAGCACAGGACCTTCCCAGTGTGGCGACCGGATCCGAGGAGAATCGGGCATGGCCACGCCTCGCTCCCTCCCCTCCCCTGCGGCTCACGCCTGGCTCTGCCCACACCCTGCAGCCCTTTCTCAGCAGCATCTCGTCCACGACAGTCTAGGTGCTCATCCAGCAACAGCCCAGCCCCGAGCTGGCCACGTAGCCCCTTGCGCTGTCCGTGGACCAGGCAGCCCACCAGACTCCCTCTGGTGCTGCGACATAGCTGGTCAGCTCCCAGGACCAAGGGGCGGAGACCTGGGCAGAGGCCGCAGGTCGCACGGCCGCCCTGCGGGGGGCTGTCTGCCTCTCAGGGAACCTGCTTCCTGTCCCCCGAGCAGCCGTGCCCGTGGGTGTCACGGGAGGGCAGTGAGCGAGCTGCAGGCCGCCAGCGTCGTGGGTCAGCACCGGGGCCCTCCCAGGGGTGCAACCGCGAGGCCGGGCAGAGAGTGAGGATCCCTCTCAAGTCCGCCAGGCCAGCTGACCACACTCTGTCTCTGCTTGTTGGCAGATGCCCGGTGCGCGTGAGAAAAAGTAGTTCCCTCGACATCCCTTAAAGACCCACCGCAAGGCCCATGTCCAGCAGCTGCGCGTCCGTCCTGGTCCCCGCACCCCGCACCCGGCGGAGTCCCAGCGCCCCTGGAGGGCACAGCGCACTGCGTGCCACGGGGAGGCGGAGACCTGGGCACTCCGCGAGGTCTCCCCACCACTCCCCCGAACCCTGCTGTTCCTGAGGCCATGACACCTGCCCCAAGTGGAAAAGCAGACCCTGCGGGGCGTGGTCTGCTCGGGGCGCACCCTTCCTTCGTATGCAAACAGTATGAAAACTTGAAATAACACATTTTTTGGGACCTCATTTTGCTGCTTATATCACACCTTTCCTGGGACTTACGTGGGTGCATTCCCTCAACATTACTTTTACACAAAGTCAGGTATTTTTTAAAACACACCAACACTTTTAACCCTGTCAATCTTTTTCAATTTCAAATATTAGCAAATCGCATTGCCTGAAAGACCCCACAATCTGCAAACTAGAGAAGTTCGGAGAAGCCGGAAAAGGCCTGCTGCCGAAATCAGAATCAACGCACCATTTTCGAAGTAGAACCGGTGGAAGTCCATCCCCTCCACCAAATTGCCCAGAGCTTCGGGCTCAAACGCGGTGAGGCCCGGGTCGCAGATCTTTCTGCAGGAGAAACAAGGAACACAGTCAGGAAAGAAGTCGTGCGCTGTCGCCTCCCACACATCCGTTCCGTTCACCCAACAGCGCAGAAGGGAGTCGCGAACACGGGACTGTAACCCGTCTCAGCCGTGAGGGGGTGAGGAGCAGACCCACCTGAGCGGGCGGGCGCGGGGGCAGCACCAGCCGTGACACGTGCCATTTCATTGCCCAGGTGAATTCCCTCTGCTTTCCCCAGTTTATTTTTTAAATGTTTTTATCGATGTTTTAGAGAGAGAGGAAGGGAGAGAGACAGACATCGCTGTGAGAGAGAAACACCATCGGCTGCCTCCTGCGCCCCCTGTTGGGGATTGATCCGCAACTCAGGCCAGTGCCCTGACGGGGACTCAAACCCGGGCCTCAGTCCATGGGACAGAACTCCACCCCGAGCCACACCGGCCAGCTCCCCAGTTTATTTTTAATTCTCAACTCAAGTTGATTATTTTTAAAATGCTGTGCAGCCCAAGCCCCTCTCCAAGCCCTAACAGCCTTGGGAGTGTTGCTGGTGCCTCTCCGTCCACGACACGCATCCACGTTGTGGCCGATGTGAAGGCAGGAGCCACGCCCTGCCTCCCGGCAGTGTTCACGAGCTTCATGATCTTGTTTAAAGCTTATTTAACTTTTAAATAACATTAATGAGTGGTTCAGGTGTGCACATGAGTTTCTTCTTAATCCTAGAAATAAGATCCACTTCACATGTATCTTCAGAGAAAGCCTGTGGGTTTTCTTCGTATCGATTGACTCAACAGTGTCAACACCTACTGTGCGGCAGACATGCTCTGACACAGTCTCGGCAGCGCTCGGCCCCGAGCAGGGACAGACAGTGCTCGGTGCCGGGTCGCGGTGCACGAGACGGAAAGATCTAGGAGAGGAAGAGCGGAGCTGGGCCTTCACGACTATGGAGGAGTTTCTCCTGCAGTGGGGGGGCAGGCAGCGGAGGGCAGGGGCGTCCTGGCACAGGCCGCGGAGTGTGGAGGGTTCGGGGACGGCTGCGGTTTGACGGCGCAGCACAGGCACGGAGTCCAGGGAAGCACAGGGCCAGCTCCCCGGCCGGCAGGCCTCTCGGAGGGGACACGTGTACTGGGTCTGAAGGGCTGCTGGGCGTCTACGGAGTGGACAGGAGGGACAGGGAAGGACTTCGGACTGTTCAGTATTCTGATGGGTCAACATCTAAATTTCATGTGGACACTGCCTATTTGGGAGGGAGACCTTTCTCACTGCTCGACAGAAGCACACGTTTCGGGAGGCAAACTCACGACGGCCCTCGAGAGGCTGCTCACAGAATGTGGAACGGACTTGAAGAACACTTTTAAGTAGAACATAGTTTTAAAATAAAAAATCACAGTGACCACTCAGGGCTGGGGGGGGCTGTTAAACTCCGCCCCAGACCTCCTGGGGGGCCGGCATTTTCATGCTCAGGGTCACACACACGACCTTCTGATGGAGCCACCGGGAAGCCCTGTGCTGACCCTGCGGGCCTGTGGGTGCTCGTGTGCTGGGAGGGCTCAGGGCCTGCGGGCCTGTGGGTGCTCGTGCGCTGCGAGGGCTCAGGGCCTGCGGGACTGTGGGTGCTCGTGCGCTGCGAGGGCTCAGGGCCTGCGGGCCTGTGGGTGCTCGTGCGCTGGGAGGGCTCAGGGCCTGTGGGCCTGTGGGTGCTCGTGCGCTGGGAGGGCTCAGGGCCTGCGGGTGCTCGTGTGCTGGGAGGGCTCAGGGCCTGCGGGTGCTCGTGTGCTGGGAGGGCTCAGGGCCTGCGGGCCTGTGGGTGCTCGTGCGCTGGGAGGGCTCAGGGCCTGTGGGCCTGTGGGTGCTCGTGCGCTGGGAGGGCTCAGGGCCTGCGGGTGCTCGTGTGCTGGGAGGGCTCAGGGCCTGCGGGACTGTGGGTGCTCGTGCGCTGGGAGGGCTCAGGGCCTGCGGGCCTGTGGGTGCTCGTGTGCTGGGAGGGCTCAGGGCCTGCGGGCCTGTGGGTGCTCGTGCACTGGGAGGGCTCAGGGCCTGCAGGTGCTCGTGTGCTGGGAGGGCTCAGGGCCTGTGGGTGCTCGTGCGCTGGGAGGGCTCAGGGCCTGTGGGTGCTCGTGCGCTGGGAGGGCTCAGGGCCTGCGGGCCTGTGGGTGCTCGTGCACTGGGAGGGCTCAGGGCCTGCAGGTGCTCGTGTGCTGGGAGGGCTCAGGGCCTGTGGGTGCTCGTGCGCTGGGAGGGCTCAGGGCCTGTGGGTGTTCGTGCGCTGGGAGGGCTCAGGGCCTGTGGGTGTTCGTGCGCTGCGAGGGCTCAGGGCCTGCGGGCCTGTGGGTGCTCGTGCGCTGCGAGGGCTCAGGGCCTGTGGGTGTTCGTGCGCTGGGAGGGCTCAGGGCCTGTGGGTGTTCGTGCGCTGCGAGGGCTCAGGGCCTGCGGGCCTGTGGGTGCTCGTGCGCTGCGAGGGCTCAGGGCCTGCGGGTGCTCGTGCGCTGCGAGGGCTCAGGGCCTGTGGGTGCTCGTGCGCTGCGAGGGCTCAGGGCCTGTGGGTGTTCGTGCGCTGCGAGGGCTCAGGGCCTGCGGGTGCTCGTGCGCTGCGAGGGCTCAGGGCCTGCGGGTGCTCGTGCGCTGCGAGGGCTCAGGGCCTGTGGGTGCTCGTGTGCTGCGAGGGCTCAGGGCCTGCGGGCCTGTGGGTGCTCGTGCGCTGCGAGGGCTCAGGGCCTGTGGGTGCTCGTGTGCTGCGAGGGCTCAGGGCCTGCGGGCCTGTGGGTGCTCGTGCGCTGCGAGGGCTCAGGGCCTGCGGGCCTGTGGGTGCTCGTGCGCTGCGAGGGCTCAGGGCCTGCGGGCCTGTGGGTGCTCGTGCGCTGCGAGGGCTCAGGGCCTGCGGGCCTGTGGGTGCTCGTGCGCTGCGAGGGCTCAGGGCCTGCGGGTGCTCGTGCGCTGCGAGGGCTCAGGGCAGTGGGCTGTCCCTGGGCAGGCAGTGCAGTTGGGCGGCCCCAGGGAGGGCTCAGTGGGCTGAGGCGCGTCCCGGAACTGAGTTCTCTGACACGCCTGCCCTAAGCCGTCTGAACACAGGAGAGGCTGCACTTTGCTACGACAGCCTGGCGTCCACGACAGGGCGTGTGGCACCTTTCCGCAGGAAGGCCGCCGCAGGAGGCTCGGAAGAAAAGGCTGTTCCCGTCCGAGGGTCTCTGGGTGTGACGCAGTCACCCTGCTGGCAGGATGAAGGGCGGCCCTGAGCAGGGCTCGAAGGGAAGGGTCTGACCACAGTGCTGCCCGAGCCGATGCCTGCGGCCCTTCCTTGCGAGGACACTCGAGGTCACAGCACAGAGCTGACGCGCACACACACGCCTGTTTGCACGCGGAACCCGAGGGCGGTGCTGGGTGCGACTTCACTTACACGGTCCCTCGCTCTGTGTGGTGCTGTTTGCAGCCGACGAGGAAGGTGATGTTTGCTTGTTCCATGAAACTGGGAAACAGCAGCAAAACCCACCTGCTCCCCAAAGGCCATTTCTGTGCTTTTCCGAAAACAATGTGCATTTCCCACCCGTCTTGCTTCTCCTCACGTGGCTGGAACTGTTCTGGACACGGTCACAGCCTGCCTGTCCTCCGGTGACCACGTCACAAGTGTTCTGCCGGGGCCCAGTGTCCCAGAGGCACCGGCCCTCACGGTGACCACGTGCTGGACACAGAAGTTGTTCCCATTCTCTCACTGTTCGCATGTTGCTTCGATCCACATCTGTGTGCAGTCTTTGCCCATGTTTTGGACTTGAGGCCATGGCCACGGCCGCGCTACACTTTTACCAGCAGCATCACCGGTGAGCGCCGCGGGGACGTACGACGTGCTCCCTGCAGCCTGCACAGCCACGGGACGCGTCCGCCTCTGGACCTTGCGCCGCGGCAGTGAGCTCTGACCCGGCCGTGTCTGTGCAGTCGAGCCTCTCCCCTTGCTGGGCGCTGCTCACGTCCTCTCCACCCGGGCCACTGCCCTGCGCTGACCCTCAGGGAGCTCTTCCTCGAGATCGGGTTCCGGCCCTTTGCATTTCGCTCTTTCATCCCAGAGGGACCAGCTGCTGGTGCAGGGAGGCTGAGACCCGCTGACTCGCACATCCACCCAGAGAGCAAACTGGGAGAGGACGATGTAGTCGAGCTGAGCTGCTGCTGGATGTCTCCCGCACCCCCTTCCCGCACGCCTTCTCCACCCCCTTCCCGCACCCCGTTCCCCACCCTCTTCCCGCACCCCCACACCCCATTCCTGCACCCCGTTCCTGCACCCTGTTCCAGCACCCCCTTCCCCACCCCCTTCCCACACACCTTCTCCACCCCCTGCCTACACCCCCCGAGCTGCAAGGAGTTTCTAAGGCAGCGTGTCCTCTCCGTGCTCCCTGCCTGTGTCTCTGCCTGCGACTCCCCTCCGTGCGCAGAGCCCGTTCCCATCAGACGCCCTCTCGTCTCAGGGAACCCTGAGTACACGCACTTCTCTCCGGGGCACGTATGTCCTTTGCACCTTGAAATAAAACTGCTGCTGACACGTCAGGCCTGGGCTTAGACACAAGGGACCCAGTGTGCTGAGCAGCACCCACGCGGAGCGTGAGGGCAGTCACGCGTGTACTCACGTGTATGCCTCAAAGTCGCCATTGTTGATGGCTTCGATCAGCTGCTCAGTGACTTTGATGATCTCCTGCTTCCGAGCTAAAGACAAAGAGACGGAGCCGGTGAGAACTGAGGACGGAGCCACACCCCACACCGCCACTTCCTACTCGGGCGCCGCTCACACGCGGCCTCCCGGGAACTGCTCCCCACCTTGTGCGCAGTGCCGCACCCTCTCGGCCGCTCGCACCGCAGGTCAGGGCCAGCGCTGCTCAGCCCCCCGAGGACCCAGGCGCACACCCTGGGGAAGCACACGGCCGGCCCCGCTTGTCGGGGGACAGCTGCCCGGGGTGCAGCCGTTTCAGCGGAGCCACGGCCTTCGGCACCTGGCACCTGCACTTCCACAGCTTGGCCCGCCAGCTCCACGGAGGGCGCCGACCCCGAAGCTGCCACCATACGGACGTGTGGCCCTCTGTCCACGCGACTCCATCGTGGCTGTGGCTGCGACTCAGAGGGATGTCCCCGCCTGCTGTCGGCACAGACTGCACGTGGGACACCTGCCGTGATGAATGTCAGCTTGGCTCAGATCCTACCGGTCGGGCAAATTCTTTTCTGGTGACCTCACCCACGAGCCTTTCCCTGCCCAGGCCCATGGGCCATCTCCTCGCGGTCCGACAGCAGACCTCGGGTAACACGATCACCTGCTCACTGTGACCCGTCCTCCTGCCCACGTGGGAAGCTCCGATGGGTGAAGAACATGTGCTCTCTCTGCATCCTCCAGCAGCTTGACCCAGCGTGTACTGTGTGCTCCTTGATGCCTCGTGTGTTCCGTGATGCCCCGTGTGTTCCGTGGTGCGTGTGCTCTGTGAAGCATCGTGGTGTTCCGTGTGCTCCGTGGTGCGTGTCCTCCGTGATGCCATGGTGCTCTGTGGTTCCCGGTATGTTCCATGGTTCCTCATGTGTCCCGTGGTGCATCATGTGCTCCGTGATGCCCTGTGGTGCTCTGTGATGCCATGGTGCTCAGTGGTTCCCTGTGTGTTCTGTGATGCTCCGTGTTGCCTCGTGTGCTCCGTGGTGCCATGTGCTCCGTGGTGCCGTGGTGCTCCATGATGCCCTGTGTGCTCCATGATACTCTGTGGTGCCCCGTGGTGCCTCATGGTGCTCCCTGATGCCATGATGCTCCGTGGGCCCCGTGATGCCCTGTGGTGCTCCATGATCTCCACCCTCATCGGCCAACATCAGCAACATGCTTCTCTCACTCGTCGAACGAACGGGTGAGCTCGTACTGAAATTCCACGTCGCCGAGTTCTGTTTCAGGAACATGGGCTACATCCTCAGCCGGCCCCTTGGCCCCGTGGCCCCGTGGCAGCGATGCTGACATGTCACAAGAAGAGTGCAGGGCACTTTGGTCCATTACTGATGGAGGGCGACCAGTCTGCACCTCCAAGGGCGCTGAGCCCTGAGAAGCTAGTTCCCACCAGGCCTGTAATCCCCGTCTCCTAGGTGGTGGCGTTCCTGACTGAACATGACGTCTGTGAACCTCACCTCACTCACTGAGCCTGCACGGCGACCTTATGAAATGATGGTGTCCACAAAGTGGTCATGAAGTGTGTCAGGTTGATAATAAAGAACCACCACCACGGAGGTGAGCTCAGGGTTGCTCGGCCCCACACCCACCCCAGCTGCCTCCCCTGGCTGAGCGGCAGGACCTGCAGGGGCTGGGAACGCCCAGCGCTTGGGTCCCCTGCCACAGCCCCGCAGTGGCCCCTGGAGCCGACCAGCTCCAGGACACAAGGCACCTGGAGGGCGAGGTCAGGGAAGGCCCAGCCGCCTCCTCGCTGGCCCGTTCACATCGACAGCTACTTGGTTTGCTCAGTGGCAACACGACAAACGTACGGGTTAGGAAATCATGTTGGTTTTCAAAACTCACAAGAAAAAGGCAACAGGGACATAAGGTGGCTGCCCCTTGGGGCTCTCCGCTGGGTCAGGGTCCCTTCTGGGAGGTCCCGGTCCGAGCACAGCAGGGCTTGGAGAGTGGGGTGCTGGCCCCTCACTCAGACCAGAGGACATGCTGGCCAGCCCATGGCCCTCTACTGGCACCGTGCTCAGGGGTGGTGCCCAGGGCGACCAGATGCCCCTGTGATGCCTTGGGGACCCGGGTGCTTACGCCCTGGGCAAAGGAGCCAAGGGGTCACGGGCAGCACTCGGCGGCCAACTGGGGGACGCACAGGCTGGAAAGGAAACACTGGTGACAGAGGTCGGGCGGTTGGGGCTGGTGCCACGGGGACCTGAGGAGCGTGAGCATCTGCTACCAGAGCTGAGCGCTGAGCATCATGAGCTCACGATCCTGGCTGCTCTGTCGTAAGAGGCTTGGGAGGGAAGGTAGGAGACACACATCAGGCCAAGGACAAGAGATGCCCGGGCCCAGCTGCGGCCCCGCCCTCCCAAGTCCGAGCGGGCCTCTCTCCCTGGCCACCGGCGTCCCTCCTCTCCTGGACGTCCCGCTGCCGGTCCTCCAGGGCCCGCGGCCTCCTCGGCGCTCAGGGCTCCCTTCGGCCCATCTCCACCATCGACATTCTCTGTCCCGTGAGTCCAGCCGTCATCTCCTTTCCAGACCCTTCCTCCAGCCCGTCTGCACCAGGGCCTCCAGCCCGGACCTGGTCCACGTAGCCCGTGAAGCGGCCCAGCCAGACACACGGCCCCTCCTGCCTCCGCCCTCACGGGTACAGTGCAGGGCTCCCCGTCCAGGGTCGCGGGGGTGCTCTGCTCCTGTGTCTGGGCCCTGCGCTCCGGGCCACTCCCAGCCAGACACACAGCCCCCCCGCCTCCGCCCTCACGGGCACAGTGCAGGGCTCCCCGTCCAGGGTCGGGGGGGGCTCTGCTCCTGTGTCTGCGCTCCGGCCATTCCCAGCCAGACACACGGCCCCCCCGCCTCCGCCCTCACGGGCACAGTGCAGGGCTCCCCGTCCAGGGTCGGGGGGGGCTCTGCTCCTGTGTCTGAGCTCCGGCCATTCCCAGGCTCCCCACTGGGCGCCCTCCCCACCCGCTCTCAGCGACACAGGCGCCGAGCCCTCCTGGGGCCTGCCCCCGCACACAGCCTCCCTTCCTGGGGGTGCCCCTCTTCGCCTCGTTCTGGTGGATGGGTCGGTGTGAAGAGCTGGAATACTTGCTCTGAGGCCTCACCCCGGAGCCGGGCAGGCCTGTGATGCGCTCGGGCCGTGAACGGACCTCACTGGGCGGGTAGATCGTCACCGAAACGGTGGCAGAACGTCCACAGCGAGCCCTTCAGGGACTCAGCCTGGAGATTCACTTATTGCGACCAAGTTACACAATTAAGAGCCCAGCGTGTCCGGGGGCGTCAGCCCAGCGTGTCCGGGGGTGTCAGCCCAGCGTGTCCGGGGGCGTCAGCCCAGCCAAGCGATCCCATCTGTAGGCTGCTTGTCAGTGTGGGGCTGTGTTCAGCCGACTTCTGCACCTGAGCCTGCGGCACCAGGCGCCAAGATGGGGGCGGAGGCTGGGGGGTGGGGGTGGGAGGTGGGGGCTGGCGGGGGTCCACCCCCTGGCACTCAGAGGCAGAGGCTGGGCCCCGCTCGGGCTCTCGTCTGCGTCCAGCCCCGGTGCCTGAGTCAATGTTTTGAAATCGTAAACTTAAGGGAAGCCCCTAAAATGCCTCTGAACTTGCCAAGCAGCTGGCTGACGGCTGCAGGACGGGGCGGACGGTCGGTCAGCGCAGCAGGTCCCCGCGCTGCCCCTGTCCCAGGGCCTCCGGCAGCCGAGCGGCCCTGGCAGGGCCGAGCTCTGGGGCAGACAAGCACACTGGGTCCTTCCGGGCTCGCGCCGCGGGGTGTCCCCTGGTTCTGGGGCTCACTCTCATCTCAGGGTCTGGTTCGCCGTGTTGGTTCACGTCTGGGAGAGTGATTTCCATTGTTGTGCTTTTAAAATCAAGCCTGTCAAGATTTGGAGTTCACTGGTGTAATAATCTGTAACATTTCACTTAAACGGAAGACTTAGAAGTCACCAGATTTCCACTCAAGACTTCGAGAAGTGCTGTGAAGCTCACGCATCCACCGGCACCTGCTTAGCGCTGAAGATGAAGGCAGACTGAGACCATCCGCTTCTCACTGGACTCCCACAGGGGCCGGGCGGCCGGGCAGGGAGGGACGTCCCCCAGGGCTTCGCAGCCGCTGCAGGGCGCAGGGCAGAGCAGGCCGTGACCCGGCCTGTCCATGTGTCGCCGACCGTGCAGGCGGGAAGCTGCTGGCACCAGGGCCGGGCCCCGGAGAGGGCGGCGGGTTGGCAGCAGCCCCTCAGGAAGCCAGACTGTGTGAGGAAGAAGGGACGGGGGTCTGCTGACGGCCTGGACACAGGGCCGCGCTGTCCAGGACTGGGGTCACAGAAGGGGCAGTGGGAGGCCCGGCAGCGGGAGCAGCGCAGACGCGTGGACAGACACGGGGGGGAGAGGGGACGGAGAGAGGCTCTGTGGGTCAGTGCGCACCATGGTCAGAGGCACAGGCTACAAGGATGTGACCTAGAACTGTTTTCGGGGAGCACTTGCTTTTAAAGAAAACACAGCAGTGTGACGGGCTCGAGCCGGAGCCCTGTGACGTCTTCTGACCTAACAGACCCGACGGCCACCGGAGCCCTGCACTCCGCCGCTCTGGGCGCCCGAGCGCCACGCGAACAGACAGCTCAGCCTGCTGGTGCCTGCGCCAGGCCGACTCTCCGGTCACGGCTGCGGCCTTCTGCTCAAGTCCACAGCCACGGGGCAGGACACCCGGTCACACCTCAAAGCACAGACAGACAGACTACTTCATCCGCTAAGTCTGCAGGACAAACGTCCATGGACACCGAGGGGAATCTCGTAGAACCCAGAAGAGATGTCCGCGCGGAGGAGCCCTTGGGGCGGGGCAGCGGCGCACACTGTGGCGGAGCCCGAGAGAGGTGCCTGGGCATCCCCGACTCCAGCTCCCACGAGATGGGGCTCAGCAGCCCTTCCCCAAACCTGAACGGATCCGCGTTGTTCACAGCGCGTGTGGAAGGACATGTACTGACCACGCCTGGCACTTCCCCGCCGTGCTCACACCCCGACTGGCACAGTCACAGTTCCACCATGTTTGTAATCGCCCCTACTGATTAAAATCACGTGTGCTGGGATTTCCCACCTGTTGTCTCTAGTTTGAGACAGAAAAGAATACAGTGCGAGAAAAACGGACAAAACCCGCCCTGTAATCAAAACCCTGCTGAGACACTAGTGGGGGGAAGACACGGCCACGGAGGCCCGGCCCAGACACCGCGGGGTCGGCAGGCGGCCTGGCCCGGGCCCTGGTGTACCTTTCACGTCCTCGTCCTCGATCGTCGTGTTGGAGCTCTCTGTGGACTCCTGCGGGGAGAGAACACACTTTAGCTGCAGACAGTGAACGGCTCGGCCGCTGCCCTCTGAGAACACGGGTGAGTCTGCACACACCATGCACAGCGCCCGCCGTGTGCAGCCCGGACATGCATGGGCCGTGCGTCCTGTGGCTTTGACGGAGGCCAGGCTGACCTCTGCAGACGTTCACACAGGGGCTCGCTGCCCGGCCTCGGAGGAGGGGCAGCTGAGTGGGCCCCCCTCTGCAAGAGCTGTCTGAGGCCAGGTCTGGGTCACAGTGCCCACGAGGTGTGCTTTTCTCTGTTTGTGAGAAACGACTCTCTCAGCCTCATGAATCTGAACCTGGAACAGCACGAGTATCAGGTCAGCCAGCAGCCCCTCCGCAGTGCAGGGCGGTCCGCCCGCCTCGCTCCTCCCAGAGAGGGGAGCCTTCCCGAGCTCCGCCGGGGGACGCAGGTGCTAAGGTGCGAGCACGCGTCGGCGGGCGTCCACGTAGTGACCAGCACAGCGGATGACATGAGCCGTTTATCTTCTAGGACAATTAGATTTTTTCCTTCGTTTCTAGTGATCTGAGAAGCCCGCCCTGACGCCCAGACAGAGCTGTCTCTGTGAGGCTGAGGAAGGGGGCACACCTGGAGGGCACTGCGCGGACAGCCTGCCCTTCCTCACAGGGCCTGGCAGACTGTCCGGCATCAGCGCATTTCCCGCCAAAGGAATCTACTGATGTTTGTAAGACACAATGTTCTACTCCAGAGATCAAAGCCGAGAGACAGAACATTGGAAACAAAGTTCTAAAATCAGCAGATTCTGCAAAAGGATGCAAACACCAGTGTCCTTTTAGAAATTCAATAGTCAAAAGGTGATCAATGCACATAACTAACAGAGAACACTTAGACCAAAGGGACGGACAAATCAGACATGTGTCCGGAGTCTCGTCACACAAAACCAGTCTCCATGCGCTGAGCGTGGCCTGGCGCTCCCACTGCAGCTCGCGATGGAGTGAGCCCGGCACGGACGGACAGACTGGTCCACGTGAGCCACTGCCACAGCGGCAGGCCCCCGAGTGTCCCCCCGCTGTGCGCGTGGCCTCCCCTGGCCAACGACACTGCAAACACACAGCTCGCGGGGGACGCTCCTGACTGGCTCACGTGTCCAGGGACTCGGAACAGCGACTTCCAGTGGTGGGCCCACGGCTCGTTGGGACCCACAGCACCCGGCCACTTACTCGGGCACCGACTGCCTTCCCCTTAGGTTGTCAAATAAAAAATGACCGCAGCCGACACCACGATAGCTGTCCGATGTGAGCGAATCAAAATTACACCTATTTTGGGGGGCTCTTTTTTGGTCAGATAGTGAAAAAAAAATTTTTTTGGTGAGCTGCAGAGTTTTAATAATTGGTGAGGTGAAAAAGGTTGAAAATCACTGATCCAGAACATTCTCAGTGTCATGACTACAGATACATCTCGTAATAAAAAATATAACACTTTGCGGTTTTTAATGATTTTAATATTGATCACCCAAACGTGAACCCAGAGGAAAGGTGTTTTCTGGCGTGGACGCTGCGGGGAGCAGCGAGGAGCAGCCAGACCCAGGCCGCCCCGCGCAGGACTGGGAGTGCGTGGGGTCAGCGCCGGTGCCAGCGCTCAGACACACGCACGCCCTCAGCGAGCCCTCTGTGTGAGCAGTTCACATGGACAGGGAACGCTGCTCCCTTGGCATAGTCAAAGGTCTGTCACTGAAATGCATGTAATTAAAAAAACAACAACATATTTCCTAAGAAGCGAAACTCTATTTTCTTCAAATTTCATGCCAAACAACAAAAACACCACCAACAGAGAATTGAAAGAAAATCACTGTAACAACAGAACAAACTCAAAAGCAACATCAAACTAAACAGATCCTATGACCTCGCTGTTTCCGAGGCCAGCGAAACGCCACAGCAAGGAACGAGCACTCCATGCAGAACACGGGCATGCGACCGGCTGGGGTCGGCCCCTCACACACAAGCGCTGTCGCCCGACTGTATTGACTATGGGGCCACCCATTCTCCTTCAAGTCATCATTCTTTTTGGTTTTGAAGAAATGTGGGTGCTGCTGGATAAATTAGGCCCGAGAGAAAGTGTGGCAGAAGAAGGGCAGGGATGTCCTTCCCTGTGTTCAGACCACCAAGCTCGCTCTGCACATCTAAGAGATGTGCAGCCCTTCCGAGCGAGACAGCGCTGAGTCCTCTGCGTACCTTGTTTCCGTCAGGGTTGTGGATGACAGTAGTTTGGGGCTCCTGGGTGAGAACAAAACAGAGAAGAACAGTCTCACGGCAGGTTCTGAGTGCGGGCAGAGCAGGGAGCCAGCCCCGGAACCACAGGGACAGCGGAAGCGGCGTTAACACGTCAGAGGCCCCAGCACCGAGGTCTGGGCTGGGAGGTCTCTGGTCAGCCCTGGGCCAGTGCCCAGCAGCCGCATGCAAAGGCCGACTCATCGCACACAGACCGGCTCTGGGGCTGGAGCCCTGCGGGGCCGGCACCGCACCCCACCTGCAGAGCTGTCGTCTCCCCTGCAGCGAGGGCCTGTCCCGTCTGTCCCGCAAGGCTGCCCAAGGACACTGCAGGGCAGAGCTCGGAGAGGGCTGCACACCTCGGAAGGTGTTTTCCAGTGGATTATGTGGTTGGCACCATGGCTCATGCACAGACAGACGCCCTTGGAAGCCTAGAGCCATCGGACCACACTTAGAAGAGCACTGTCCAAGAGAATATATTCAAAAGTCCATGAGAAATTCCAAAAAACATTTAAAAGGTTCATTCATAGGGTTCTAGAACTAATCACAGAGTCACCACGACCCTGTTAACTCTGATAGAAACCTTCTGTGCTATGGGCACGGACGATGTGCTCGCGAAGCCAGGTTTCTCCAGGAAGAAGGTTGTTCTCCCTACTGCTCTCGACCAGAAGACTGGAGCACTGTTCCGAGCGGAGCAGGCGCTGCGCCCTCGAGGGCGCTGGCCCCGCACGATGCCTGTGGGCTGCGTCCCTGCAGCCGGGGGCGCCCTGCGGCCAGACGGCACTGCTCAGAGCTCCTCCGGCCCCGCACCTGCCCTGCAGCCCTGTGCTCGGCCCTGTGCCAGGAGCGTGACCCGCCATCTGGACGAGTCCGTCCCCAGAACGCTGGAGACTGACCGTGCTGGCCCGAGGCAGAGTCCCTGACCGTTTTGGATTCACCTAGGATAACGGCACAGAGGACAGTAAAGAATCAGATGTTTCTGAAATTCACAGATTCAAACATGGGACAGAGTGCAGAGCTCAGAGCACGAATCCCAGCATCCGAACCTCGGATGTCCACACGTCGCTGCCTTGACGTGTGCAGCTGCCCTGCTGGCGACTGTGCGGGACAGATGGACAGACTGCGGCGAGGACTCAGCTCTGTGCTGTGGGCCTTGTTCTCTGGAGTGAAGTGAAACAGTGGTCACTTCATTAAAAGACCAGGACGTGCTGACGTCACTGCCCAGGCCTCCTGGTCGCACAGGCCGGCAGCGTGCGGCAGGGCCCTGGGAGGTCTGCAGCTGCCCTGAGCTGGTGGTGCCAGCCCCGCTCAGCCTCCAGCAGCAGCCGCCGGCGGCAGCCGCCTGCATCGCGGGCACATGCACACGTCTCTGCGGAGACCGAGCTGCGTGCGTCGCTCGACCGTGGGATGAGGCATCTCGTGAGCAACACACCGCCTGACAGCCACCTTCACGAAAAGAAGAGCAGACAACGAGCTTGTCCGTCTCTCGGAAAGCAAACCGAAAGCAAACCCAAGCCCGGCAGCACGTGCAGACGAGGACAGCGGAGGAGCGTGCAAGGGCGAGCCGGCTGTACCAGCGCCGGGGCGGGGGCGTTCTCTTTGGGGCTAGTTACCACGTTGGCTCTGCTGTTTATCTGTGGGTCGCAGAAACAGAAAGACACGCCTTAAAGCCCTGGTCGAGAGGCTCTGCCGCGGCGTGTGCGTGCAGATGCCGGCACGAGATGGAGGGTCCCGCAACCCACACCTGAAGGCCACTGACGGCACAGCGGTGCTGTCACCACGGGCTGCGGACCTGGAGGTGGGTGCCAAGTGGCCTGGCTGGGCCCCCAGTGGACAGACACAGAGCGGCTCCAGGAGCTGCTGAATCCAGGGCAGGGACTGAACATGCCCGGCCCACACTCCCCGAGTCGCTGTGTCCCTGGCCTCCAATGCTCACACTATGGACTTGTCCCTCGTTCCACTACGTTCTGGAGCCTGAACTCACCACAGACCAACATCACTGGGGCCGTCATCACCGTGTGTGGGCATCCAGTTAGAACTTAGCTCTCCTGATGAAACGCAGGTTTGATGATCTATTTTAAGTGACAAATCTGGGTCTCCTTTATAAACTATGCCTTCAATTATAAATGGGCAAACGGACTCTTCGCTGCATTCTGATTGTAACGTGATTTTACTGTTCACAGCATCTGAGAGGGGAGCACTGTGTTCTCACTGCGGGACTGCAGACGCCCTGGGCGTGTCGGGCCTTCCCTAACAGCTGGGCCGACCTTCCGGAAGACACCGCGGTCCCTGCGGGCCACACCGTGAAGCCACCCAGGTCGGGGTTTGCCATGGGCCAGGGAGACTCTGTGGACAGGAGCAATGTGGACCGTGACTCAGTCTGGGCTTGAAGAGCCACAGAAGGAAGTACTAAGCATCTAAACTCATGCAAGACGACTTACAGTGTGGTTATCAACCAGCAGAATCAACCTGTTTTCTTGAACTAGATTCTCTAGGTATTTTGTTTACACATTATCTAAAGGAACACACCCCACAATTTTAGTATAGATGTACATAAGACTTAAAAAAAAAAAACACTGCATAAAAAAATGATACCAAAGAGTATTTACAAGAAGTGACACCAAGTAACTGTTTGGAATTTCTGGAAATTCTCTCTCCTGTTCACACCTGGCTGGGCCTGGACCTCAGCTATGGCCTGTGGCGCCCCCACCCCGTTGAGCTGTGCTCTGCTACGCGCCGGAGGGCAGACAAGGCTGTGGGTGCCCCACCGGAAACTCTTCCAGCATCAATCTGTCTTTGGCAGATAGTTCGTTCAAAACTTTTCTTTAAATAAAAGTGCACAGCCCGGCCGGTGTGGCTCAGTGGTTGAGCGTCGACCCTGCACCAAGAGGTCCTGGTTCAATTCCCGGTCAGGGCACATGCCCAGGTTGTGGGCCTGATCCCCAGTGGGGGGCGCGCAGGAGGCGGCCAGTCGATGTTCTCTCTCATCGATGTTTCTCTCTCTCTCCCTCTCTCAAATCAATAAAGAAAAAAGAACATTCTGTCAATCCGCTCGATGGTCCCTGTGCTCTGGGAAGTCTTCCGAAGGTTTCTGTGCTGCCGGCTGGCTGGGGCCGCAGCAGAGTTCTGAGGCAGGGAGCTGAGCCTCAGGAGGGCTCGGGAGGGGCGCCTGCACACCAACGCGAAACCTGGCGCTCCGGCTGGGAGGTGCCGTTATTTTATATTACAGAGGCCGAGTATTTTTCTTTAAAAAAAAAAACTACGTCGACGCCATCACTTAAAGGACGCGCTGAGTCACTCCTGTGAGGCGCAGCAGGTAGGCCCAATCCCGGGAGCTGTGTGTTCAGCTTCCAGCTGTGTCACTGGGTGGCCACCACGAGGTCGCTGTGCACTGGTCACAGACGCCACGCGGGGCGTCTCAGGGCGTCGGAAGAGCAGTCACCCCCACCCCAGTCATCGCCATCATCACCCACACAGTTGTTCTCGCTCGTCAGTCAACAGACATGAACTGCATCTCGGTCTCTTCAGCTCCAAGAGGCCTGGACTTGGTCCTTGTAAGAGACCCTCTGACGCCACACCAACAAGGGTGCAGACTGTCTACTTATGGAGACAATCGGTTCCAAGTTCAAACGCCGCCATGTGACTGTGGGACAGTGTCCTGCCAGCTGCCTAAGGCTGACCTCCTTTCGCCACGTGGTACGCAGGTGGGCAGGTGTGAACACTCAGAGGAAAGGTACCTGGCAGGCGGGGACCTCACCACCACCTGAACACTCCAACTGCACTTCCTGTCCTGACCTGACCAGTCAGAGAAGGGGGGAAACACCACGGCCGCGGAGTGTCTGTCTTCAGGAGGAGCTGAGTGAGCGAGACGTCCGGACATCTCTCTACAGGGGGACGTGACGTCTCTCGCTGGGCCCCGCGCTCTGCCTCCCCGAACTGCACAGAGGGCACAGGGAGCGGAACACCTGGAAGACGTCACGTGTCTCATTTCACCTGTGTGGACCAGAAGGCAGGCCTCACTGGGACACGGGACTATGTGGAGACAACCGGCACCGGGCGTGGCCCGCGTGGCACGGACAGGTGGCGAGGAGGGGAGGGCATGGGCACAGTGCTGACGTGTCCATGTCACAGTTTCAAAAGAACTGACCAGCGACTCTGGGTCAAGTTCAGAGGCTAGAACAGTGGCCCGTCCTCGGACGACAGTGTGTTGTGCGGGTGCGCCCATCTGCCGGGGAGAGAAGAGGGGAAAGAGCTCCGAGGCCACGCTCGGGGACAGCCACGGCGCAGGTACTCGGCCACGTCCACAGGTGAATCCCTATGGACTCGACAGAAAATCGGCTGCATGACTTTGCTTAGAAATCAAGAACGTGAAGACGCCCTCTTCCCTTTCTAACAGGCGTCCCCAGCTGCACCTCGAGCCCGTCCAGCACCTCGGACAGAAGCCACGACAGAGGCACCGCCGAGAAACTGGGAGTGAGCTTTGTCAGCCACACGTTTCAGTGGCCACTGGGGAAGGGTTTCGGTGTCACAGACTCCAGTGACCACGACACTCTGAAATGGAGGGACCCAGAGAGGAGCCAGACATTCAGCTCTGCAGCACCTCCTTATAAAGTCAGCCCTGGAACAGAACAAGGTGCCACTTTCGGTGGCATGCACATGGTCCTCTCTGTGCCTCGTGCCGTTTCACCCAACCCGCACTGTCCAGAGACCCAGGTGGCTGCGAGGCCCGAGCTCGTCAGCAGACGGCGCGAGCAGTCTCAGGAGCACAGGCTCCGCTCACCTTCACTCCGTCAGGTTTCTTCAGCAAACTCTTGGCAGCTGTAAAACGAGAGTAAGATCATCTTAGCGAGTCACGCAGAGGAGCCCAGGGCCAGGCAACCAGCGGCTGCATCTGGCCACCACCCCCGTGGCGCAGCCAGCAGGCGCCCGGCCGAGCCCACAGGACACGCAGTGCAGCGCCGGTCCAGGTGCAGCTGGTTCTGTCGGCTCCTGTGGAACCCAGACCTGGCCAGGCGTCCACTGCAATGGGCTGCTGGCTGGGGCAGACTGGCGGGGAGCCTGCGCCGAGTTCCCTGTGCCCGCGCACAGGACGGCCACTCAGCCCTGCCACCTTCCTTCTACAGGCTCAAGCTTATTGTAAAACTTCTCTGGCCAAATAACATCTTTTAAAAAATATATTCTTGAAATAAGATCTTTTCATTTTTATAAAAACGTTAACAACCGCACTTTCTGTAAAATGCACTTTATAGACCTGCAGCGAGTCCTCCACCCCCAGCTGACCTGCAGCGAGTCCTCCACCCCCAGCAGACCTGCAGCGAGTGCTCCACCCCCAGCAGACCTGCAGCGAGTGCTCCACCCCCAGCTGACCTGCAGCGAGTGCTCCACCCCCAGCTGACCTGCAGCGAGTGCTCCACCCCCAGCTGACCTGCAGCGAATTCTCCTCCCCCAGCTGACCTGCAGCGAATGCTCCACCCCCAGCTGACCTGCAGCGAATTCTCCTCCCCCAGCGGACCTGCAGCGAATTCTCCTCCCCCAGCGGACCTGCAGCGAGTGCTCCACCCCCAGCTGACCTGCAGCGAGTGCTCCACCCCCAGCTGACCTGCAGCGAGTGCTCCTCCCCCAGCTGACCTGCAGCGAGTGCTCCTCCCCCAGCTGACCTGCAGCGAGTGCTCCTCCCCCAGCTGACCTGCAGCGAGTGCTCCACCCCCAGCTGACCTGCAGCGAATTCTCCTCCCCCAGCGGACCTGCAGCGAATTCTCCTCCCCCAGCGGACCTGCAGCGAGTGCTCCACCCCCAGCTGACCTGCAGCGAGTGCTCCACCCCCAGCTGACCTGCAGCGAGTGCTCCACCCCCAGCAGACCTGCAGCGAGTGCTCCACCCCCAGCTGACCTGCAGCGAATGCTCCTCCCCCAGCTGACCTGCAGCGAATGCTCCTCCCCCAGCGGACCTGCAGCGAATGCTCCTCCCCCAGCGGACCTGCAGCGAGTTCTCCTCCCCCAGCTGACCTGCAGCGAGTGCTCCACCCCCAGCTGACCTGCAGCGAGTGCTCCTCCCCCAGCTGACCTGCAGCGAGTGCTCCACCCCCAGCTGACCTGCAGCGAGTGCTCCACCCCCAGCTGACCTGCAGCGAGTGCTCCACCCCCAGCTGACCTGCAGCGAGTCCTCCACCCCCAGCTGACCTGCAGCGAGTGCTCCACCCCCAGCTGACCTGCAGCGAGTGCTCCTCCCCCAGCTGACCTGCAGCGAGTGCTCCTCCCCCAGCTGACCTGCAGCGCAGTGCTCCTCCCCCAGCTGACCTGCAGCGAAGTGCTCCTCCCCCAGCTGACCCTGCAGCGAGTTGCTCCACCCCCAGCTGACCTGCAGCGAGTGCTCCTCCCCCAGCTGACCTGCAGCGAGTGCATCACCCCCAGCTGACCTGCAGCGAGTCCTCCACCCCCAGCTGACCTGCAGCGATTGCTCCTCCCCCAGCTGACCTGCAGCGAGTGCTCCACCCCCAGCTGGACCTGCAGCGAGTGCTCCTCCCCCAGCAGACCTGCAGCGAATGCTCCTCCCCAGCAGACCTGCAGCGAAGTGCTCACCCCCAGCCAGACCCCTTGCAGAGAGGCTCCCCCCAGCTGACCTGCAGCGAGTGCTCCTCCCCCAGCAGACCTGCAGCGAGTGCTCCTCCCCCAGCAGACCTGCAGCGAGTGCTCCTCCCCCAGCTGACCTGCAGCGAGTGCTCCTCCCCAGCTGACCTGCAGCGAGTGCTCCTCCCCCAGCTGACCTGCAGCGAGTGCTCCTCCCCCAGCTGACCTGCAGCGAGTGCTCCCACCCCCAGCTGACCTGCAGCGAGTGCTCCACCCCCAGCTGACCTGCAGCGAATTCTCCTCCCCAGCGGACCTGCAGCGAATTCTCCTCCCCCAGCTGACCTGCAGCGAGTGCTCCTCCCCCAGCTGACCTGCAGCGAGTGCTCCACCCCCAGCTGACCTGCAGCGAGTGCTCCACCCCCAGCTGACCTGCAGCGAATTCTCCACCCCCAGCTGACCTGCAGCGAATTCTCCTCCCCCAGCTGACCTGCAGCGAATTCTCCTCCCCCAGCTGACCTGCAGCGAATGCTCCTCCCCCAGCGGACCTGCAGCGAATTCTCCTCCCCCAGCGGACCTGCAGCGAGTGCTCCACCCCCAGCGGACCTGCAGCGAGGTGCTCCACCCCAGCGGAACTGCAGCGAGTGCTCCTCCCCCAGCTGACCTGCAGCGAGTGCTCCTCCCCCAGCTGACCTGCAGCGAGTGCTCCTCCCCCAGCTGACCTGCAGCGAGTCCTCCACCCCCAGCTGACCTGCAGCGAGTGCTCCACCCCCAGCTGACCTGCAGCGAGTGCTCCTCCCCCAGCTGACCTGCAGCGAGTGCTCCTCCCCCAGCTGACCTGCAGCGAGTGCTCCTCCCCAGCTGACCTGCAGCGAGTGCTCCTCCCCCAGCTGACCTGCAGCGAGTGCTCCTCCCCCAGCTGACCTGCAGCGAGTGCTCCTCCCCCAGCTGACCTGCAGCGAGTGCTCCTCCCCCAGCTGACCTGCAGCGAGTGCTCCACCCCCAGCTGACCTGCAGCGAGTGCTCCTCCCCCAGCGGACCTGCAGCGAATTCTCCTCCCCCAGCGGACCTGCAGCGAGTGCTCCACCCCCAGAAGACCTGCAGCGAGTGCTCCTCCCCCAGCAGACCTGCAGCGAGTGCTCCACCCCCAGCAGACCTGCAGCGAGTGCTCCACCCCCAGCAGACCTGCAGCGAGTGCTCCTCCCCCAGCAGACCTGCAGCGAATGCTCCAACCCCAGCTGACCTGCAGCGAGTGCTCCACCCCCAGAAGACCTGCAGCGAGTGCTCCTCCCCCAGCAGACCTGCAGCGAATGCTCCTCCCCCAGCAGACCTGCAGCGAATGCTCCAACCCCAGCTGACCTGCAGCGAGTGCTCCACCCCCAGCAGACCTGCAGCGAGTGCTCCACCCCCAGCAGACCTGCAGCGAGTGCTCCTCCCCCAGCAGACCTGCAGCGAGTGCTCCAACCCCAGCTGACCTGCAGCGAGTGCTCCACCCCCAGCAGACCTGCAGCGAGTGCTCCACCCCCAGAAGACCTGCAGCGAATGCTCCACCCCCAGCTGACCTGCAGCGAGTGCTCCTCCCCCAGCAGACCTGCAGCGAATGCTCCACCCCCAGAAGACCTGCAGCGAGTGCTCCACCCCCAGCAGACCTGCAGCGAGTGCTCCACCCCCAGCAGACCTGCAGCGAGACCACCCCCAGCAGACCTGCAGCGAGTGCTCCTCCCCCAGCAGACCTGCAGCGAGTGCTCCACCCCCAGCTGACCTGCAGCGAGTGCTCCAACCCCAGCTGACCTGCAGCGAGTGCTCCACCCCCAGAAGACCTGCAGCGAGTGCTCCACCCCCAGAAGACCTGCAGCGAATCCTCCACCCCCAGCTGACCTGCAGCGAATGCTCCACCCCCAGCTGACCTGCAGCGAGTGCTCCTCCCCCAGCAGACCTGCAGCGAATGCTCCACCCCCAGAAGACCTGCAGCGAGTGCTCCACCCCCAGCAGACCTGCAGCGAGTGCTCCACCCCCAGCAGACCTGCAGCGAGACCACCCCCAGCAGACCTGCAGCGAGTGCTCCTCCCCCAGCAGACCTGCAGCGAATGCTCCACCCCCAGAAGACCTGCAGCGAGTGCTCCACCCCCAGAAGACCTGCAGCTTCGGCAGAGATGGACTGTGGGTGGAGAGGACCCGGGACAGGGCCGGGCTGGGACATGTGGAAGCGACTGGTTCCAGTCGCCTTGCTTCACCCCCCACGCAAGGGGAGAAGAAAAAGGGAAAGCAGCCCTGTGACCCGCGCTGGGGACAGGTGGCTCTACAGGGCTGCACCCCGCTCCTGTGCCCAGCAGCTCGGGGCGAGGGCTGTACCTGCCTGAGGAAGGGCCGCAGCCCGTGAGTGCCCAGGGTGGGGCTGGGAGCAGGGACAGGCAGCCCCACCCGGCCCTGCATTGTGAGAAGCCCAGTGAAGGCCCGAGGACAGACTTCACAACACACAGACAGCCCGTCACTCACAGGGACACTACGTGGACTTCCTCACTCGAAGGGCTTCCCTGATTATTGGGCCCCAGTGAAATGTAGTGCCAATGTATCTGAACTTAGTGTACACTAAGTAATATTTAGGGAGATCATTGAATTCACCCCATAAATGGCAACTACATGAACCAACTGTTCACTAAAGAGGAGCTGCTGGGGCAGGCTGTGGTCTCCCGCACACAGAGCGGACAGCGGACAGGACACACACTGCCCTTGGGCCCTGAGCGCCCGCGTCCTCGCCTTGAGTCCCCGCTGCGGCTGACCGGGCAGCAGGGGCCTCGGGAGAGCGGCAGGGACAGCGCTGCCCTGGTGTCCCTACGGTGCAGCCAGGTGGGAAGGTGCCAGAGAGCGAGGCTCCTGCACCCCCGGATGAGGCCGCAGCCCTGCTGGGCGGACAGCCAGCAGAGGGAACGGCCGCGCTCCTGGCCTCCCGGATTCTACTTGGAGGCTGCTCCTCCGAGATGGTCCGTCAAAGAAGGGGCCTCAGAACTCATAACCTCTGCAGACAGCAGATGCGGAGAGGGGCTCCTGCCAAGGGCTCTCGGGGCCTTCGAAGCCCCGAGGTCCAGCACGGGAGACCTGGCTCCGCAGCAGGTCACCCCCGCCTCGTAGACCTGGTCCCCATCCTGTGCTGCTACTGGGGGGCAGCTTCTGCCACCTGGGCCTGAGCGCTGTCCACTGCTGTGCTCATCAGGGGCCAGGAGACCCCGTGCTCTCCTGAGAACCGGGCTCCTCGGTGCTGGTCTCTCTAAGACCTTGCTCACTGGGCCTCCGGGCGGAATGAGACACAGCTCATCCACCGTGACCTTCACGGGACATCGGCTGGTGAATCGAGGGGCGACAGGGACGCGCACGGGGGCGCGTGGCAGTGAGGGGGCGTGCAGGGGCCTTCGTCCGGCACAGGCTGGGCAGTGGCGGGCTGGCAATGCCCGTGGGGAGCTCGCCTGCCGGGTGTCCTCCCTGCAGCAGCCAGCAGGACGCCGAGGGGCCGTGTACAAGCCCACGACGCACACTCCGTCCCCAACCACAGCTCCCCAATCGTCTCCCAGTTCCACAGAGGGGACTCCAGAGGAGAGCAGAAACAAGAACCACGCACCTGAAAAGTTCCTGGTGGCCAGCATGGTGGTCAGGATGGCGCCCTGTCAGACAGAAGGCAGGTGAGTGTGGCTCGGGCTCCCGCCTGACGCTGTCCAGGGAGCAGCCGCCACCTGATCTGCTCAGGGAGGTTCTGGTCTGTCCGGGTCTGGATTCCCGAGCAGCAGGCCTCTGGGCGGAGGCTCACTGACGGGGCTGTTCCCTCGCGAAGGGCGCACCCGCATGCGGTCCGGCCCCTACGCTCCAGGGGTTCCCTGCGGTGGCTCCCAGCTCCCCCACGGGTCACCGCCACCCCTTACCCGCCCACTCCCCGCCCAGGCAGCGGCCGCACCTTGAGCTTCCTGCGGGCGTTGAACTTCTTCAGGCAGTCCACCGTCTCCTGCCTGTGCATCATGGAGGCCACCGTGGAGCGTTGCTGTGGAGAGAGAGCCTGTGCCAGGGCTGCTCCAGGGCCCAGTGCGCACGGGCGGGAGCCAGCCCCACACTCCCGTCCTGGGACACGCGTGCGGCCCTGTTTCTGCAGGGTGGCCTCTCCCTGCCGCACGCGGCTGTGGCCCTGACAGCTGACCTGCCCCGGACATCGCGCCCCAGCCCGTGCGCGGTCCCGAGCCTCAGACTCGCACACGGAAACGTCCTCCCAGCTCCACCTGCCTACGGACAGCGAGGGGCTGTCTTCCTCGCCCAGGGCGTGTCTGACCTCGGAGCGTTTTCTCTCCGCCCGTGAAGCTCTGACCCTTCCTCTGCCATCCCTGCGCCAGGCCCGCCACCAGGACTGCTTTCTAACCATCATGAAATTAACTTGGTTAGATGCCTTGAGTCAAAATTCATTCCATCCTTTTCTGCAAAAACCATTTAAAATCCCTGCGCCACGTTCTAAGGGCCGGCCGCTCTCCACGGCGGCTGCGCAGCCTGCGCCCGCACTTACGCAGATCCACGGGTGCTTCAGCGCCTCGGCGGCCGAGATGCGCTTGGCGGGGTTGATGGTCAGCATCTTGTTGATGAGGTCTTTGGCTTCAGGGGTCACCGTGTCCCACTCTGGTGATGGGAACTTCAAAAACATACATTGAAAGAGGTTAAAGCCAAGTTCCCTCAGTGGAACAGAACAGCCAGACACACAATCGTTTCCTTAGGGGTGAGCGTCTCCATGCGTCTGCTTTCTGCACTGTGCCTAGAAGATGGGCAGATGAGGACATGCCGTGCACACCTTTACATCGTGCATGTCGGGCATGAGGACTAGGTCGTGTATGATCTCGTACACACGTTTCAGTTTAGAAAAATACACTTGAGAGCCCTGGCTGGTTTGGTTCGGCGGTTAGAGCGTCGGCCCGCGGACCAGAGAGACCCGGGTTCGGTTCCCGCTAGGGGCACGTACCTCGGTTGCAGTTTGTCCCTGGCCCCAGCTGGGGTCATGTGGGTGGCAGCCAGCTGATGTGTCTCTCTCACATCGATGTTTCCCTCTCTCTTCCCCTCTCTCCCTCCCGCTCTTAAACAAAAAAAATACACTTGAGAATGCTTTAGTCCTCTCCAAGTATCTTTGCTTTGATCTGAAAGTGAAACCCTACTCAACTCTCCCCATAATCATTCCCAGAAATCAACAGAGCGAGGGCGTCACAGGTGTGGAGTCCGCATGCTGAGCCAGGTCCCACGGGGCGCGGCTCGCCTGCTGCTCCGGAGCAGCCAGTGCCCGGGGAGGCGGTCCTCTGCCTGGGCCCGCGGGCGGCAGCCAGAAGGGCCTGGAGCACCGCCGGCCCTGCCCAGGCCCAGGCAGCCTCACAGGCTCCCAGAGCCCAGTTCACGAGGGACCAGCTCTCCGCCCGCTATGAGGAGCCCATGTCGTGTCAACAACATCACGGCCAAGCTACTTGTCCTGAGTGTCCCAGTGAATGTTGGTGATCGAGCAACCTCACCCTCACAGGATCAGCGGGAGCCTCTTAGTGAGGGTGGGGAACAGCGCACGTCGCTGTCGCTGAGTTTCTGGACAACAGAGGAGCAGGCCCTGCCCTGCCCCACCCCCGTCCTCTCAGAAGCCCTGGGAAGGCCGCTGGGGCCAAGGGCTCAACTGCTTTCTAGTCGCAAGACGGGCGGGCGTGGCCGCAGGGGGCGGGCTGGGGAGTGAGGGCCCTCGGTGCCCAGGGACCTGCCACGCAGGCAGGCGTCGCTCTGGCTCTGGCTTCTGTCGCTCTGGCTGCGGGACGTGCTAAGGACGAGGAACGACCAGGAGCACGAGGCTGCTCCCTAAGACCACAGCCCGCTGGCGGCCAGCGGTGCCCCCCAGCCGGGGTGTGCAGCTCCTGCAGCACCCTCCTTCCCATCCTCGGCAACAACCCGCCCGGACGGGAGGCTTCAAGATGAAAGGAACACGCGCTAAGTCCTCAGGACACAAACAGCCGTCGAGGTAGGACATTGTCACAGCAGGCCCAGGCCTTCAGACCGGACAGAACGTAACTCAGACTTTCACAGTCCTCGCGCCTCCGCCCTGGGCATCCAGCTGGTGTGCAGGCGCCTGACCTGCTGACACCTGGACGCTCCTCCAGGCCGGCGCTGACCTCGCGGCCCTGGACATGCAGCCAGGGAGGGGTCAGCCTTGCAGACACAGGAACAGCCTCGACGAGCAGAGTCACACGAAGAGGGGACACAGACGGCCCCACTCTTCAGACTCGGACCCTGATCCACATGCGGTGGCCACATCCGCTCAGGCTCCTCTCAACCACCCCCGTGCGGACGAGACACCAGGGGGCTGTGCTTCCCAAACATCTGCCCCCGAACTCCCCGCTCCCAGTGGGAGGTGCAGAGCCCATTGGTGCACGTGACCAATGTCAGAGGGACACAGACGAGGTCTGGCCTGCGGGCCTGACTCACACCTGTGCCGGCCCCCGGGCAGGTGCCCAGTAAACAGGAGGGATCGTTCTGAAGCAGTGACACGCGCACGGGCCGAAGGCTCTGACTCACACCTGTGCCGGCCCCGGGCAGGTGCCCGGTAAACGGGAGGGATCGTTCTGAAGCAGTGACACGCGCACGGGCCGAAGGCTCTGACTCACACCTGTGCCGGCCCCGGGCAGGTGCCCGGTAAACGGGAGGGATCGTTCTGAAGCAGTGACACGCGCACGGCCCGAAGGCTCTGACTCACACCTGTGCCGGCCCCGGGCAGGTGCCCAGTAAACAGGAGGATCGTTCTGAAGCAGTGACACGCGCACGGGCCCGAAGGCTCTGACTCACACCTGTGCCGGCCCCGGGCAGGTGCCCGGTAAACAGGAGGATCGTTCTGAAGCAGTGACACGCGCACGGCCCGAAGGCTCTGACTCACACCTGTGCCGGCCCCGGGCAGGTGCCCGGTAAACAGGAGGATCGTTCTGAAGCAGTGACACGCGCACGGCCCGAAGGCTCTGACTCACACCTGTGCCGGCCCCGGGCAGGTGCCCGGGTAAACAGGAGGATCGTTCTGAAGCAGTGACACGCGCACGGCCCGAAGGCTCTGACTCACACCTGTGCCGGCCCCGGGCAGGTGCCCGGTAAACAGGAGGATCGTTCTGAAGCAGTGACACGCGCACGGCCCGAAGGCTCTGACTCACACCTGTGCCGGCCCCGGGCAGGTGCCCGGTAAACAGGAGGGATCGTTCTGAAGCAGTGACACGCGCACGGGCCGAAGGCTCTGACTCACACCTGTGCCGGCCCCGGGCAGGTGCCCGGTAAACGGGAGGGATCGTTCTGAAGCAGTGACACGCGCACGGCCCGAAGGCTCTGACTCACACCTGTGCCGGCCCCGGGCAGGTGCCCAGTAAACAGGAGGATCGTTCTGAAGCAGTGACACGCGCACGGGCCCGAAGGCTCTGACTCACACCTGTGCCGGCCCCGGGCAGGTGCCCGGTAAACAGGAGGATCGTTCTGAAGCAGTGACACGCGCACGGCCCGAAGGCTCTGACTCACACCTGTGCCGGCCCCGGGCAGGTGCCCGGTAAACAGGAGGATCGTTCTGAAGCAGTGACACACGCACGGCCCGAAGGCTCTGACTCACACCTGTGCCGGCCCCGGGCAGGTGCCCAGTAAACAGGAGGGATCGTTCTGAAGCAGTGGCACGCGCACGGCCCGAAGGCTCTGACTCACACCTGTGCCGGCCCCGGGCAGGTGCCCGGTAAACAGGAGGGATCGTTCTGAAGCAGTGGCACACGCACGGGCCGAAGGCTCTGACTCACACCTGTGCCGGCCCCGGGCAGGTGCCCAGTAAACGGGAGGGATCGTTCTGAAGCAGTGACACACGCACGGCCCGAAGGCTTGGGCAGCAGGCCCTTCCCTAGGGACTCCAAGTGCTTCCTTTCGATCTCAGCAGACGGGGGCTGAGGGGACGCACAGGGCACACATCCCTGGACACTCGGCCTCGTCGCCCTGTCCCCGAGGGAGGGGAGGGCAGGGAGCCCTCTGCAGGGAGGGCGCCGGGCGCTGCTCACGGCCCGGGGACCCCGCGCACAGCTCTCCTACCACGCACATCGTAAGCTCCGGCCTTGATCTGCTGGTAGAGTCTGTGCTGGTCCTCGTCCCAGAACGGGGGGTACCCCACCAGCAGGATGTAGAGGACAACGCCTGCAAGGCAAGGACAGCGGTGTCAGGTCCCGGGCACAGGGCGCTCTGAGGGCAGACCTCAGGGCCCAGCTGCGCTTGCTGGGGGGGGGGGGGTGGCTGTTGACCCCTGCAGACATGTGGGTGTGGGTGGAGGCACCTGGGGGGCCTGCCTGTGGCTCTGGGCTTCCTGACCCCCCAGACGTGATCAGGCCTCCCATGGACACCTGTCCGTGTGGGTACTATCTCAGCCACTTTGCAGGTTGACATTTAAAACTGAACAAGCGACTCTCTCCTCAGTCACGCAGCCTCTATCTAGGGTCTCTGCTGAGCGAAGGGGCCCGTATAAGCTCTGCTCTGGGTCTGGGTCTGGGGAGCGGGAACAGCCTGTGTGGAGAGGAACCCCCAGCGGTTCAGTCTCAAGTCCCGTGATCAGCGACCCGCCAGGCAGGGCGCGAGCCCCAGGAGTGAGGCGGGGAATGCACAGGGGCGCGAAGAGGCAAATTCCTTTCCCAGAGACACCGCCATTCACCCATTGAGGTGACCGATGTCTGGTGGGATCTTTACAAAGCTCGGGCTCCCCGAGGGCGCTGTGGGCGGGGCTCCTGCCACTGCCGGCTCAGGCTGCCCCCCCCCAAGGTCCGGGCAGGAACGGGGTGCTGCTAGTTTCTTCCCGCAGGGCCGGGCCAGGTGCTCCTGACACAGCTGCCAGACCCGCTGTGGGGAGGGGCTCTGGCCTCAGGAAGGAGACACCCCAAGCCCCACAGCCAGGGCCGCAGCCCACAGGCTCCCCAGGGTGGAGCTGGGACAAAGGCAGCAGAGGGCGGGGCTGGGCACCTGCTGCAGGTGCTGCTGGGAACCCACAAGCGGCCACTGGCCCCGCCCCTGCGGGCAGGGACATGGGGTGTGAAGCCTCCTTGGCCAGACTGCTGACTGGGCGTGTCTGCCTGAGCCAGGTGCCAGCACACAGTGGGGAGCCGGCCACTCCCCTAACCCCTAACCCTGGGGCTTAGGCTGGGAGGGGAGAGGGGAAAGTAGGAAGGAGTGAGGGGAGGGCGGAGGTGGGGGGCAGGGCACAGACCCTGATGAAGTCAGTCCCTGGTGCCCTCGCCCAGGCCCCGGGCCCTGCCCAGTGAGCACCCACCACCCTCCCTCCAGCGCTCAGGGTTCGAGGGCAGCGCTCTGGCCACCCACCCTGACTCTGCAGCACCGCCCCCCTCAGAGCCCGCCAGCTGAATTCCGCAGTGGAAACATCTGGGGGCTGACTTTTGCAAAGAAAATGTCCGAGTGATGCCACCAGCGTGTAGATGTGAACAGGGGCACCGAACAGTGCAGATTTCATGCCCCGGACCCTCGGGCGGGGAGGAAACCTGTGATCTCACCTCTGACAAAGTGCAGACCCCATCCTTGTCGAATATGGCTACTTGCATTTTAATTGCTTTGCAAGCGATATGAAATCTTCATGTAAAGCGTACCCCCTGACCCACATACAATTCCAGGAGGGCAACACAGCCCATTACAGACAGAGAAACCAGCTCGGGCACTGAAGGGGTGGGTCAGTAGGTGTCCAGCTAAGACATGAGCCGGCTGGGCCCTCCCAGCTGCTCCCCGAGCGTGGAGGGGCCCAGAGCCTGAGTGCGGGACAGTCCAGGCCCAGACGAGCAGCGAAGAATCACAGGCGAAACCACCCCAGAGCCAGAGCTCAGGCCGGCTCCGCCCGGGGACATTCCTGCCCCACCCTTTCCTCCAGGCTCGGCCACGGAGGGGAGTCCCAGGGGCTCCTGGGCTGGGCTGCTGCGCAGCCGGGGTCGGGTCAGGCCCACAGGACCGTCCGGTCCGTTCTTTCCGAGACGCAGCCTCCCCCCTCCACCGGCCTGCGCTCTGCAAACCTGCCCTGTGCGGCTGCCTGGGCACGGATGTGACAGTGGCCATGTCCCTGACCTCACGGCGCCATCAGACCAGCATCCCAGGCCTCTGCTGGGCACCCGAGTCACAGCACCAGCCCTGGAGCCCTCCTGTGCCCGGGGCTGTGGAGGGCGAGGACTCGAGCTGCTGCACTTACCACAGGCCCACATGTCCACGGGCTTCCCGTAGGGGTCCTTGCGCAGCACCTCGGGAGACAGGTACCCAGGCGTGCCAGCGAAACCTGCGGGCACAGAGGCAGTGGGCAACGGGGAGCAGTGCACAGCTGTTGTGGCGTCTTATCTGCTGTGTGTCCAGGTGCGCCGGCCTCAGGCTGAGGGGGGCCTGCTCTGTGAGCCTGCGGTCAGGACACAGCCCAGCTCTTCCCAGCAGGAGCCTGGCCGGGCACCCCGCGGCCACAGTGGGCAGGTCTCACTTTTCGGTGCGGGGCTGAGACCACAGGTGGAGGGTGAGGACGCACCCCAAACACGCCATGAGGGCCCACGCAGTGGGTGGGCAGGGTCTCTGATCTCCCTGGTTCTACCAAAAAGCAGGATATGAGTTCCCGTGTGGAGGGCGCCCTCCCTGCGCCCGCAGAAGGAGCACGTCCCTGTCCCCGGAAAGGGGGAGGTGACGCTGACAGGAGTCTGGACAAACAAGCCCCCGACGTGCTCCTGAGCTCCGGCCACCCCCACGGGCCCGGCCACCCCCTCCCACGGGCCCGGCCACCCCCTCCCACGGGCCCGGCCACCCCCACGGCCCCAGCCACCCCCACGAGCCCGGCCACCCCCACGGGCCCGGCCACCTCCCACGGGCCCGGCCACCCCCTCCCACGGGCCCGGCCACCCCCTCCCACGGGCCCGGCCACCCCCATGGGCCCGGCCACCCCCACGGGCCCGGCCACCACCTCCCACGGGCCCGGCCACCCCCACGGGCCCAACCACTTCCCACGGGCCCGGCCACCACCTCCCACGGGCCCGGCCACGCCCACGGGCCCGGCCACCCCCACGGGCCCGGCCACGCCCACGGGCCCGGCCACGCCCACGGGCCCGGCCACCTCCCACGGGCCCGGCCACCCCCACAGTGGAGAAGTTCTGCTCTTTGCTTATTGAAGCGCAAGCTCGTCCCCACCAGCACTGCAGGGACGATGGAGCTGACCAACCGCGCGAGACCTCGAGGCAGACGGCCCAGGCGCGGACCCGCCTACCTCCTGACCCCGTGTGTCCAGAGACGCCAGGACGCGCAGCCCACAGGCACTGGCCCCGCCAGGCTGCCGCACAGTCACTGAACTGTTGGCGTGCGCCCCTGCCCGGGGAAGCTGTGGCTCACACTCTCGAAATGCACTTTCCTCAGAGCTACTTCTCTCATGGGCACCTTAGCAAGAGCTTCACCATGGACGGTCGTGCTCAGGGGGACAGAGCTGCACCTCACATGTCCCCACTGCTCAGGGACCATTGGAAATGAGTGACCACAATGGAACCCACAGGCTCCCTCCCACTCACAGCTCAGCCCTCGGTGGGCCCAGGCTCAGCGGCTATACTGGACGGCCTCCATGGCCCGTCCTGTGGACCCGTGAGGAGGGTGGTCATCTCCACAGAGAGAACTCGGCCTCAGTCAGGGAGACGCCCGTGTCACAAGGCCACCAGGAGCGAAGTCAGGTCAGGGCCTTGGGGGTCTGCTCAGAAGAGGGCGTCCCGTCCTCCTGTCTGCACAGGGGCTGCCCCAGGAGGCCGCTGGGCTGTGCACCCCGTGCCCACTGGGCGGGGGCCCGGGGAGCTCCGTGCACCTGGGAGGCGTGTGTGCAGGGCCCAGGAGCGTCCGGAGAACCAGGGTGTGAGACCCTGCGAACTGACTCTGTTCACAGCGGCTCAGAGGGAAAGCGATGAGCAGCCAGGCGCATGCAACAATGTTGCCTAATCTCGAGACACGGGAGAGTCGGAGAGAAAGTGAGGGTGGGGAGCAGCTGTGCTCGTGGACGTCAGGGAACAAGGAAGCGAGGGACCCGCAGCAAGGGGCCTGGGTCCCAGGGAAGCAGCCTAGTCCAGCCGGTCACTGAAGTGACCCACAGGCTGGGCAGGACACGGCAGTTAGACTGGTTACTGTTCACCTGTTCCTTAATTACAAGGAGACAGAAACTTCATTATATGGAAATGTCAAAATTATCACAATTCTAAAGAGAGAATTGTATTTTAGAGAAACAAGACATATGAGATGGAACATAGGGTGTACCTATGTACACGTGTACTTCTTAATATTTTTAAAACTGAGGGCCCATCAGAAAGGTCTGCAGTGCTCGGCGTGTGCTCCCGGGGCACCGGCTCTGTGTGGCAGTCGCCAGCGTCAAGGGAGGTCACCCCTTGACCACGGGTCGTCTCGGTCCTTCTGCGTGCGGCCCGTCCCCCCAGTGCGGAGCAAGTCCGTGCGCCCCGCCAGCCTGTGCCCGCGTGGTTTCCCGACGTCACCCCGACGTCAGCGCGGTGCCCGCAGGCCCGTCCCCCCAGTGCGGAGCAAGTCCGTGCGCCCCGCCAGCCTGTGCCCGCGTGGTTTCCCGACGTCACCCCGACGTCGGCGCGGTGCCCGCAGGCCCGTCCCCCCAGTGCGGAGCAAGTCCGTGCGCCCCGCCAGCCTGTGCCCGCGTGGTTTCCCGACGTCACCCCGACGTCGGCGCGGTGCCCGCAGCCCGTGTCCCGGCGGGTGGAGCTGTGGTCAGGGGCGAGGCTACTCACCGAACCAGGCCTGCTGGTCTCCTTGAACTTCGATGGCGAGGCCGAAGTCCGCCAGCTTCACGGCCGCGCCCTTGGACTTGCTGGCTAGGAGCAAGTTCTCCGGCTTGGTTGGGGAAGGAAGAAGGACGCTGAAGTGAGAACCTATTTTAAGCGACTGTTCAGAATTAATTACGTCTCATGAGATCAGGGGCCGCCCCGGCCCAGGGAAGACAGGGCGAGGGGGATCCCCGCTGGCCCGTGCGCTGGCTCAGCAGATGCATCAGGCACAGGGCGGGTCCTGGGCAGAAGGGAGGGTGCAGCTGGGGACAGGCCCAAGGGACGGGCTCCGGCCCTGACCTGTAACAGGCTCCCGGCCCTGGCGGTCCAGACTCGGCCACGAGCCATGGCTGAGAAGCCCAGCAGACCTCAGACACTTTCCGCAGAAGGAAATTTGGCAAAATGATAACAAGACTTGGACCAATTTACAGACACTTGGCAAATAAAACTGTGCAAATTGAATCCTAGTTGACTTCAAGAGTTTAGACCCAAATGTAGTGATTTTGATTCCTCGATGTTTCCAAACAGTTTCTGCAGATTCTGGTCTCATTCCGAACGACGTATCGAACTGCTGTCTTTACGACAGAAAGAGCGCACTGCTGTCTGCCAGATGTTACAGCTTTTTTCTTTGTGAGCCAGCGTTTTGAAACATGACTCGCATGTCTTCAGAGCGACTCGAAGCCTGACGTGCCCGTTTCTCCCACATCTTGGGACCCTATGAAGAACACGCACTTTCATTTCTCGGGCATGTGTCATCGCTCAAGGACGAGCAGCTCAGAGCTGGACCAGGCTTTGTGTCCGCTGTTTCCCAATCGGGGCATCGGACACACGGGCACTTGGACAGGCAGCACCAGGTCACAGCCAGAACTTCCCTGGACGCCTCTGGGTTTTGAGAAACGGCCAGGAGAAGACAGTCAGAAGGCGGCCAGTGCATTCAGAGAAGCCTGTCAGCCCCAGTATCTGAGCGACAGACGGCCGGGCTGCCCTGTGTGCTTCGAGAGACGGCTCGATGTCTCCTTACCTGGGACAGAGCCCAGCAAACATGCAGGTGTGTCTCAGACGGAAAGAGCGGGAAACAACGGAGCACACGAGCCAAAACAACGGTCTGAAAATCTCAAAATTCAGTCAACCAAACTGGTTTTGTTTATACATCGACCAACAGCTAATTTTATATTTTTTCCTACAATTGGCTACTTTTTTCCTTACTAATTAGTTGATTCTGTTGGTTGTTTTGACCGTGTATAGACCCAGCCTCGACTGATATTTAACTGCTATTAAGTGAGCCAATCAGCAGAGACTCATGACCAGAACGTGGACGGACGAGGTGAGTCTACTAGAACAGTCGGATCGGGTGCCAGACCTGTCCGGGCTGCCACCTTCGACCAGCACTGGGGACAACCGGTTACGGCCGGGAAGCCGCTGCAATGTTTCAGAGCTGGTAGGATTTTCAACGACCTCCACACTGAACACAGAGAGTTTAATTGGGATGCTGGGCTGAGACGGCTCAAGATGAGGAAAGACCTCCATGCCAACATGCCTGTCAGCAAAGCCCAACAGTCAAGACCCCCGGAACCCGGGCTATGCGGCAATAGAGCATGGTCTCTAACCACGTTGTGTTATTCGATACTTTGTTTCCACAACCAGATCTATGGCCCGCTACATTCATGGATGTTCTAATGTAATGAAGAAACGATCCCAGCTACTAACTTACGGGCTAAGCGACTTGGAGAAACCACTGTTGCCTGCACACCCAGAGCGTGGGGGGTGGGAGGTCTGTGCCGACCGTGGGGCCCTTGCTGTCAGCGCAGACCCCGGCAGGGCCACGTGCCGTCGCTCTGGGACAGACACCTAGGTCTGCCAGGGCCTGAAGTCTGCCGAGCAAATGCAGTGACAGACACACGTCTAGAAATGTCATGTGCTCTGTCCTTGGGCCTCATCACCAGCGTGGGCAGTGCCGTGGGCGTGAGCCTAGAACAGCGGCCCTCCTCCAGCCCAGGGAGCGTCCGCCGCAGGCTTCACCACGCGCGGCCCGGAGTGACGCGGACCTTCGGTTCACACCGGAGGGGACCGGGGCTCCCTGCACAGCCGCGCGTCACTCAGGACCTCGCGGATCTGCCACATCGGGTTCCGCCTTCACGCCGGACGGCTGCCCGCTGCGGCCACACAGGGAAAGGCAGCTGAGGGCTGAAGTGAGCAGCGCCGCACGGCTCACGTTCATGGACGGCTTAGGGACCCAGACACAGAACGGGGGGGACGCAACCTGACGCTCACAGCGGTCGCTGACTTCAGAAGACTGTTTGCTTTATAAAATGCCTCGCCCAGGAGGGCCTCGAACGACATCTTCAATGGACACAGAGTGTCACACGGGTTTGTTCCCACGTCATGCTTCAGGCTCCATCAGTGCGGATCATCCCATTACCATCCTACCACGCAGACGGCCTCCACCGTAAAATGCATCGTGCCACCCGAGTTCCCGGCGAGGCGGCTCGGGTTCTGACAGTCCAGGGAGGAAGGTGGCCTGTGCTCGTATCGCAGAGCAGCTGAGACGCACGAGCTCTGGGTGGCCCGGCGCCCACTCCCTGGGACGGGCCCACCGCACCCTTCCTGGCTTCTAGTCCACTACGGATTCCAGAGCAAGTGAGAAGGGGGACCAGAAGCACAGGTTCCCCGGGCAGCTGCGGCTGGGCCGGCACGGTCCTGGGAAGAAGCCGCAATGTGACGGCCCAGAGAGAAGACCTGGGTCCGACGGCATTAACCCAGACTCTTGGAACTAAGTAGTTAGTTCTGTCGTCTGTCACGCAGACGTGGGGAGCAGTGACTGTCTCTAACAGTGTGCGTGACGGGGGCCCACAGGTCTTCTCACAGGACTTGCCCTCGGTGACGGCGACACAACTCTCGCAATCTGCTCCTCCTCCACGCAGCGGCCGTCGCGGTGTGTGGGACACGGACCTGTGATGGGTGCGCAGCGTGTCGGAGCTCAGTGCCACCTGTCACATCGGTCTGTGGCCGAGGCTGCGCCCACTTCTCCAACGCGACCCCTTTAGATCAGTTTTCAAACAGACCTACAGACAGGGGCCCACCAGGCTGCTCCCCACCGCTGCCTCTGGGGTCGGTCTCCGCGGTGCCTGGGTTCCAGCTGACCACCAGCAGAGCACCTGGGGCTGAGCGCCTGCAGGCAAGCGCTGCCCCAGCGTCCAGGCCGCAGCGGCCACCTCTCTCTCTGCAGCACGACTTCCTCGGAACTGGTCAGCGTGTCGGGCCCGGGCCAAGTTGCTGGCGTCACTTTCGGGGCAGGAGAGGCTGGAGCTGGAACAACCCAAGCCTGTCTCACTGAGGAAGAGGAGGCCACGCTGAGCCGAGTTCCCGGTTCTTCTCTCAAAGATGCGGGCTGAGCAAACCTTCTGACGACCCGCACAGTTCGCTCTAACAGGCAGCCCACCGAGAGCATCCCTCCCACGTTCAAGAAAAACAAGAGACATGCGTGGAAGACTCAGTCTGGATCTTGCTTTGCACGAATCTCATACAGGGAGGAGGGTTCCCCGCTCGGGTCGGCTTCCCTCGCCTGCATCGCGTCCAGCGAGGCTCACCTTCCGCCCGCCTCGGACTTGGAGGCACCGTGGTAACTACCGAAGGACACGGGCGGGGATCCGCGCGCAGTGGGACGGCAGTTTCACATTTCAATGCCTTTTCTCTGAGTAACATGAAAACAGCAAGTTATTTAGTTCTGTCACCCACACTGCGGATTCTCACCCCCCGGACGGGATGTTCGTCTTTTCAGGCCCCTTCCTCTACGAGCACCCCGGCGTTTCAGCCTCGTGATCCACGAGGGCTCGGGGCTCCGTCCGCTCTGCCCAGGCAGGAGCGACCCAGGGACCACACGCGGCGTTTGGCAGGAGGGGAAACTGGAGCCTCAGGCGCGAGGGCAGGTTCTTCCCGCCCCTGGCATGACCGTTGCCTTCCCTCTCCAGGGCCCGGGCGTAGCCACGGGGGGCGCACAGGCACACGGGGCGTGGACACAGGGGGCGCACAGGCACACGGGGCGTGGACACAGGGGGCGCACAGGCACACGGGGCGTGGCCACGGGGCGCACAGGCACACGGGGCGTGGCCACGGGGGGCGCACAGGCACACGGGGCGTGGCCACGGGGGTGCACAGGCACACGGGGCGTGGCCACGGGGGGCGCACAGGCACACGGGGCGTGGACACGGGGCGCACAGGCACACGGGTTGTGCCCAGGGGGGGCGGGCTGCACAGGCACACGCGACAAGGGCCAGCATGGCTGTCGCACTCCGTGTCCCGACTGCTGTCCCTGTCAGCACACACGCCAGGTGGCCCACGGTAGGCAGCCAATGCCTGCTGTTCCCACCCCCACACACACTGGGCACCCAACGAAGACAGCAGAGTGACTCAGTGAGTTACAGAATTTACCACACGCGCTGCTTTTTTCTAGAACACCTAGACAAACACAACGCGCACATACGTTCTTTGAAGTTTCATCTAAGAGTGATTCTCAGAAAAGTGAAACAACGTGGTTTTAGATTTGTTGGGAGTGCAGAATCCACAGTCTGATGTGTGTGCTGCCCACACGGACAATAACTTACTGCCTACTGTCATACTCCGCCCAAAGAATGAATTTCTTTTCTGGTCATAAATTTAATGTTCTTCCTATGAGACAGGCTTTTAAATCCTCCCAAATCTCTAAAACAATTACCTTCATTAATATCTCTTTGTCTTTCTATCCTCTCCATCCATCCACCCACCCATCCATCCACCATCCATCCACCCACCACCCACCCATCCATCTATCCATCTATTCACACACCATCCACCCACCCCCCACCCCCACTCCCCGCGGCCTTCCCACTCAGCAGCACTGCTCTGCAGGAGGCCGGCTTTAAGAGAGGTGTTGCCTCGAGGGGTGATCCGTGGGTGCTGCTTTGTTGCTGAAAGACCCCGCTGTGCTCAGAACGAGGTCACGAGAGCTCGGTAACCGTTCCCGATACACTCTGACCGAGGGAGCCCCCACTGTGTGCAGCGTTTAAACGCCCTGCTCTGTGACTGTCTCCTGTTCACAGAGCTGTGTTCTCGAGGCTCTCGGACATTCCTTGACCTCTGGTGACATCGGGGTTGGCACCTGTCACCGCAGCCTCCTCTGTGCAGTGCTGGCTGCAGCGTCGTCTGGGGCGTGGTCTTCTTTCTGGGCAGCACCCTCGTCCCACAGTGTCAAATGGCTTCGACCCTGGGCCCGCAGGCTCCATGCACAGAGTCTGAGCTTGAGCCGCGCTGGAATTCATGCCCACAGCTCAGGCGGGGCCTTCGGAGGTGCGGTTTGCTCCGTGAGTCTGTCTGCTCTTTGTGTACCTGAATGTCCAGTCGCTGGTCACAGAAGCCCGGCACGAGGCAGCAATCCGCCCCCACACACGATCTGTTTTTAAGCACTCCAATCCGATGGTCTGGACGTGACCTGCTTAGATGCGTGTGTTTCTTCTCTGAGCCTCGTTTTCCTAAGGCGATGGGACAGTCACTGGACACGGAGCCTCGCCCGACCTGCGTCTCCCTGGCTGCGTTGAGACACGCCTCCTCTGGCTCCCAGTGACAGACAGGGCACCGGGACACTCACAGGTGGGATTTAAAAAAATCTTTTGATTCACTAAACTCGGAAACTCGGAACCATCTCCCACGTAACTTTTAATGTTGTTGCAAAATTGTTTCCTATTATTGTTTGACCTCGTCTTTGATCTCTGTGGACGTTTTCAATACACTAGACTGAGCTGAGAAGTGGCAGTGACCCTGGGACCCTGGGACCCTGGGACCCAACTGTGTGGGCACAAACCTAGGGTTAGCTGTACCCTAAAGGGTCCTGTCCCCCCGACCAGCATGGGGCCGAGTGCTGTGCACGGCGTGCCTGTGAGGACCCCGTGAAGGCTCAGCGCAGCGCATGGTGACACCACCACCTTCCTGTCGAGGACGCGTGTCCTCCTGAGCTCGAGCACACGGACGGCACCGTGGCCAGGTCAGCACGTGCGCCGCCCTGCCCTGCGTACAGGGACCTGCACCCTCTGCCCAGCTCCCACCACCTGCACCGCCCGCTGTGCTCAGCTCCCCATGGGGTGGGCCTGCTGTCCCGCCGCCCCTGAGGGCCATCAGGATGTCCCTGCACCGGGTCCATCATCCTCTTCACTCAACGTCCGGCGATGGCAGCAGTCGGCTGTGGCTCGCTCTCCTCTGCTGACGGGGGCGCCTGCTGCGCAGCCTCTGCTCTCGGGCTGCGGACGGAGCGCGGCCCTCGCCCTCGGTGCCCTGGACAGCGGTGAGCAGCGACGCTTCTGGGGCTTCTCTCTACCCGACTGGACAGCCAAGCTGCTCGCACCTGCGTGTGCCCTGTCCTGCCCTGACCCCAGGAGTCGGCACGGGAACAAAGCTGCTGCCCAGAACAGTGAGGGCGGCACCTGTGTGGGGCGAGATCTCAGCTGCCGTCGTTCTCACTTCAGGTGAGGGCTCCCGACCCAGGGCCTGCACACGGGGACCCGCTGAGGGCTGCCTCCCGACCCAGGGCCTGCACACGGGGACCCGCTGAGGGGCTGCCTCCCGACCCAGGCCCTGCACACGGGGACCCGCTGAGGGGCTGCCTCCCGACCCAGGGCCTGCACACGGGGACCCGCTGAGGGCTGCCTCCCGACCCAGGGCCTGCACACGGGGACCCGCTGAGGGCTGCCTCCCGACCCAGGGCCTGCACACGGGGGACCCGCTGAGGGCTGCCTCCCGACCCAGGGCCTGCACACGGGGACCCGCTGAGGGCTGCCTCCCGACCCAGGGCCTGCACACGGGGACCCGCTGAGGGCCTGCCTCCCGACCCAGGGCCTGCACACGGGGGGACCCGCTGAGGCACAGCCCGCAGGCCCAGGCCCAGGCCCTGCACACGGGGGACCCGCTGAGGCACAGCCCGCAGGCCCAGGCCCAGGCCCTGCACACGGGGGGACCCGCTGAGGCACAGCCCGCAGGCCCGGGCCCAGGCCCTGCACACGGGGGGACCCGCTGAGGGCACAGCCCGCAGGCCCGGGCCCAGGCCCTGCACACGGGGGGGGGGACCCGCTGAGGGCACAGCCCGCAGGCCCAGGCCCAGGCCCTGCACACAGGGGGAACCCGCTGAGGGCACAGCCCGCAGGCCCAGGCCCAGGCCCTGCACACAGGGAGGGACCGGTGGGCAAACAGCAGGGCTGGGCTGGGCTGTGCCACCTCTTGGACGAACACATGCTTCGCAGAGTGACCACTGCCTCAAACAAGCAGAATACCAGACATGAGCCCACTGTGGGCCTGCTTCTTCTAGAAAAATCTACCTTGAAGATACATCGTTCCCCCTGGCTGGTTTGGCTCAGCAGTTAGAGCGTCATCTGCGGTCCAGAGAGACCCGGGTTCAGTTCCCCCTAAGGGCATGAACCTCAGTTGCAGTTTGTTCCGGCCCCGGCTGGGGTTGTGTGGGTGGCGACCACTTGATGTGTCCCTCTCACATCAATGCCCCCCGCCCCCCCCGCTCTATCTGAAGACAAACGCAAAAAAAAAAAAGATCCATCGCTTAACCCAGGAGCTGTCCCCCGGCTGAAGTCTCACAGGAAACCAGTCGGAGGAACACGCGTGCGGCTGCCGCTCTCCGGGGCCACGTGAGCAGTGGCGCCAGCAGGGCTCACGCAGGACACGCGTGTCCGAGAGCCACGCCCCGGCCCGGGCCTTGCCCACTGTGGCTGTCGCCCGGCTTTCCGGCCACCGCGCTGCCAGGACGGACGTGGAGGCTGGTCCCCAGGCGGCGTGCGCCACAGGCCGCGTCTCCAGGCAACGCTGGCCCTGGGGGCAGCCTGCCCCCAAGTGCCTCCTGGCCACAGCCTGGCCACCGAGCAGGTGCCCAGTGCCACCCCCTTCCCGCTGTGACGCGTGCTCGGCCCGCAGATGGCGGGGGCACCGCACTGTCCTCTCCCCACCAGGCAGGGGCAGCCCGCACCGCCCCGCACCCCCGCCCGCCGGCAGCAGACGCCTCGGCCCAGGCCGCACCCACCTTCAGGTCCCTGTGCACGATGCCGTTGAGGTGGCAGTGGCTCACGCTCTCCAGGATCTGCTGGATGCAGTGGCTGCAGAGACAAGGGGCCGTGAGGCAGTGCTCCCCGCACCCCCGGAGGCGCTCCACCCCCGTCTCTGCTTTCACACCGGGAGGAGGCGAGGCTGAGCCTGGTTCTAGCACAAATGGCGCCAACACAGAATGTGTGACACGTTCAGACAAAACAATCTGAGCTGCGTGCTGTTCACACATTGGATGTGCTAGGTCCACACATTAATCGCTGGGATGCAGAAGTCAAGATTTCCGTGTTGGGGGAGAGCAATGGATCCCCATTTCCCATCGTGTCCTGGAGAACTCCTCTGACAGGACCTGTGCGGGTGTTTCTCACACCCTGACCTGCCCACATCTGCGGTCAGTCACACACAGGAGAAGCGGGAGGGGAGTGGAGGTGAAGGGGCCAGGTGTGGGGACACAGCTACCCTGACGGAGACGCTGCCTCGCGGGCACCTTGCTGGGAGGAAAGCGGACGAGGTCCCCAGCCACCGGGGCGCCGGCCCTCTGCGGTCAGGCCGGTCTGAGAACTGCTGGGAGTGAAGACATGAAATGCCAACCCCGGAGCACAGGCAAGCGCCAGACGGTCCGCACACGCTCGCTCATCCCGTCAGGACCCACCACGTGCGCTGTTCTTACTGAGGCCCACTGACGGCAGCGGGCCGCTCGCTCGTTCACAGGGAGACCCCGGACGGGCGGCTATGGGTCCCGCCCTCGACAGGACTCGGGCACCGCCTGGCAGGTGTCCCAGCTCCCTGCGGCTCAAGCACAGGCACAGGGCTCTGGAGGACACGCTCCCCCTCACTGCGCAGTGAGCCCCACTGGAAAGGGGCTGACTCATCCCAGCCTCACTGTCTGCAGACCGAGCAGGGCCGGGCCTCCCGCGGGAGCTCCGGCAGGAGACCCCACCAGCCTCGCACGGGCCGTCTGCACCACACACAGCTGAGCGTCCGTGGTTACTGTCTGAGTCAGGTTCCCCCTCAGTGGCGCTCACTGTGCCCACTCTTAGGGTTTCACCCGCTCTTCTCCAGCTGTGGGTACAGGCTCGGGCCCGCTGAGCAGCAGAGAATAAAGACGTGGATAGCAATTCACACGCGTGACCGTCACCATCTCTCACTAGTGAGAGCAAATCGAAGCCTTAACTTCTTCAGGATCAGTATGAAAAGACTTCGGCAAATTATTCGCAGAATATGCTCTATGCTGTGGACGAGAGTGCTTCCCCGAGCAGTGTGGGCCACCCTGCCAGCACCCGGCAATTATTCGCAGAATATGCTCTATGCTGTGGACGAGAGTGCTTTCCCGAGGCAGTGTGGGCCACCCTGCCAGCACCCGGCGTGGACTCGGAACGCACACGGGCGTGCGCATGGCTCGATCCAGCCCACGGGACGTCCCGCGGGCCCTGAGTCTCGTCAACAGTGGAAACGGCCTGTTTTAATGGCAGCCTGTCTGCATGACTTGGGGGAGCACAATGAATCAAATCCCCCACCTGTCTGCATGACTTGGGGGAGCACAATGAATCAAATCCCCCACCTGTCTGCATGACTTTGGGGAGCACAATAAATGAAACCCTACCTGTTTCCTGCCTTAATGAAACAACCCTCTTGCATGTGTGCAGGGCTCCTCCAGGGCCCCTCGAACCCCACAGGAGCAGCGCTGGCCAGAGCACGCGTTGCCGAGGGAGGGACAGAGAGAGTGGGACAGCGGCTCGGGGAGGCAGGCCCACTGCGGGCTGGGTCAGCCCGAGGGACCAGAGGAGGGTAAGGGTGGGGAGTCTGAGCTCCGCCCACACAGCGGACAGGGAGCCCGGCTCCGGGCAGTGTCGGCGGCAGGACAGGCTGTGGGGCATCAGCGCCGTTCCAGCCAATGCCACCTTGTGCAGCCAGGACTCACGGGGACGCGCCATCAGCGGTTTCGGTTCTGCACAGATTCTGCCCATCAGCAGGGCTGGAAAAGCCTGCTGAACCCTCTGAAACACCCGGATCCATGTTCCTCCAGTGAGGCTCCAGGGCTCCCTGAAATCTCCAGCCACCGGCACCCCAGGGCACCCTGGCTCCACCTCCGCCTGCGGGGCGCCCCAGCGCGCGGCCTGCTCTGCATGTGGCGCCGGCTGCCCGGGAGGTGGCAGTGCCCCCAGGGCCACACTCCCGCTTCTATTCCACTTTGACTGATGGATGGGAACTGAAGCGCCCGATGTGCCCAGGACGGCCCAGGGTCTGGAGGCGGGAGGATGTTCATCTGTGATCTCTCACATTTGATAAAAAAGTGTATTTCTTTAGCAGAAGTCACTCCAGTTAGGCTTCAAAAAAATGAAATGTGCACTCTGACTACAGACACTGGACAAAAATAAAATTTAGACCAGATTCACAGATTCTCTTCCCCCAAAGAATCATATTGGAAATCAACTCTGCAGAGAGAGCACCAACGAGGGCGTCATCCTGAGTCCCGCCCGGAGCGGCCAGGACGGCGGGCGCTCACCTGGCGTCGGCCTCGCTGTAGTACTCTCTCGCCACAATGTCTTCGAACAGTTCGCCTCCCGTGACTCTGTGGAGGAAAGAGAAGTCAGGCATCCACGAATTTGCAGGGATTTTTTGTTCTCAGAGTTTTGAAAAACGATCAGAGACAAAGTGCACTGGAACCTGAAGCCGCAGTCTCAGCGGCCAGTCTCCAGGCCGGGGTGGCCCCGTGCCGCCAGGTCCTGAGGGCACTGACCTCCTCGCCCCGGGAGCGCGTGCAGAGATTTACTTGTAGAAAACGGTTTCTGTGAAAGTCTCCGTTTTAGTTCTCCGGGTACAAGTGAGGCCTGATGAGGTGGGCGTGGGGGACACTTTCCCTGCGAGGGGAGGTCACGGGGCCTGTCGAGCTGGAGAGGAGTTTGTGGCTGAGCCTGGAGACCTCGGGAGGGCTCCTGGTCCCGTGATGAACACGCCCTGTGGGCCAGCGGCGGCCTCGCAAACCCAGGGCTGGGCCAGAGCCTGGCTGTCCCGACAGCACCACAGTCCTTTCTGCCCGGGGACCTGCCAGGGAACAAAGGCAGGGCCCTGGGCGGCGTCCGAGGAGGTGGCCACCGGTGAGCCCTGCCAGCCGGGAGGAGCTGGACCTGCAGCCTCTGAGTAAGGACGCGCCACCCCACGGCGGGCCCAGCTACTCGAGGGAGGACACCTGCGCCTGCGGCTCCTTCTCCCCAGCTCCCGAAGGCTGCCAGTCGGGGCCAGGATTCCCCGAATTCTTTGGCTTAGGTTTTTCTCTTCCCCCCAAAATAACGTGTTTTTAAATTTTGAAGTTATAGTTTTGCAGTAAAATTTTAAAAACACGGAAGTGTACCGAGTACCCCAGCTATCAACCCAATTCCACTTTCTGGAATAAACTAGCTTCAGGCACATCCTCTGGCGTCTCGCTCATCTGTCAGCACCGCACGCCCCTCCTTGAGGCAGAGGAAAAGCCTCTCGCGAGGACGGGCGGGGCAGCACGTCTGCACCCTCAGGGTCCCACAAGGGTCCCCTTGCGCGTGGTCACCTCGCTGCTGTCAGAACTTTCTTCCCTTTTTAACACATAGCAGATACATGTGTGTGCGCGCCACATGCACGCACACGTATTTGCGTGTTTCAGAGTATTTCTAGAAGACAAATTCTCAGAAGTGAAACTGCGGGGTCAGAGAGTACCCACATCTAACATTTCGGGCAAACAGCCCACATCTCAAGGACACACGTCACCACTGTAACGGCTGCTGTCAGCAAACCAGCTGCCGCACGTCGATGCGGATTCTCGATACCAGTGAAGGGAGCCTTTCCTCGGCCTCACGCCAGCCCTCCCTCCACGGTGGCCTGTCCTCGGGGTCATGTGACCCGTCCGCCACAGCACAGTGACGGCCAGGAGCTGGTGGAGCTCAGAGCCCAGCCGCATCTCCCGTGGGCGGCAGGAGGCTGGGCGGCCGTGTCTCTCCTGCTCCAGGCAGCAGGGACAGGATTTGTAATGAAAAGTCCACGTGTAAACTGAAGAGAATAAATTTGCATTAAGAAAAGATTTCAAACGAGTATCACTCCTTGTTCTCAGTAGAAATGGAGACCCGCACATCTTCAGAGCCTCTGCTAGGAATGTGCTGCATCCCAGTCGCCTTGCGGAGCCGGAGACTCCACGGTGCGTTTAACAAGCAAGTCGAAACCCTCGAGGTCACAGACGCTCACGACGTTGTTTGGTCAGGCTACTGCGATGGGAGAAGCACACAGTGGAAACGCGGTGCCCCGAGACCCTCAACAAGAAAACCATAACTGGCATCCGCAACGGGCGGGCGGGCACCACACACCCGCCCAGCAAGGCACTCCCTGCCCTCGGCCCCTCCTCCACTGCTGGTCGTCAGCACACACTGCACGTCGACACCGTGCTCGCTGTCTGCTCCTTTCCGCGCAGGACTGATCGGCTGCAGAGAATGGTTGCAGGGTGCCAGCGCCCGAGACCGGCCTTTGAATGACCAGCTGGGCCTGCCCCCTGCGTTCTGCTGACCATCTGTGTCCCTACGGGAGAGAGATGTCCTTCCCAAAGCTGGAGGCGACGTAGCCAACACCGACTGTGACGTCGCGCCAGAGGGCACCTGCCTGACACGGACACGCGAAGAGACAGGTAGGGCTGATCAAGCACGTGCTTCGTGGGCGCTCTGTGAAACAGTGTCTCTGTCCACCCTTTAAACATCCCTGGAGAAAACACCAAGTCCACGTGGAGACGAAGCCCAGAGGCCTGCGTGGGTCGGCGAGAGCACCAGAGCAGGAGGGCGATGGGGCCACGCTCTCCCCAGCGGTGATCAAACGAAGCAGGTCCCATCTCCCTCAAGTCCCAGGCAGGGACCCTGTCACGTGCCGCATCGTGCCTAATTTTCACTGTACATCAATCATACGGCATCACACATGGCACTGGAGGACAGGAAACAGGAAGAAAGAAGTGAAGTCTGCCCTGGGCACAGGGGCAGGGACGGCATCTGTCTTGAGCCAGTGCCAGAAATAAAGCACAAACTAAGACCCACCACAACCCTGCCATAAACAAGGTTCCCACACTCCATGGGTGGCCTGCACAGCTGCTCCTCCACACAGTCGAAGGTCAGTGGTCAGTGGTCGTAGGCAGGCTTTGTAGCTGATCAGTCTGGTAAATCCCTCCCACTGATGTGCCAACATCAGTCAAGGCTCAGCTACCACAGAAGGGTGTACAGCCCACACAGTGGGGAGGGGTGCACCTTGAGTGCCCAGCTGGGGTGACCAGGGAGGCTGTGAGACTGGCCCCTACAGAAAATCTCCTACAATAGGCCACCCCACCAAGCCTAGGAGATGTAGCAACTCTACCTAATACAGAGAAACAAACACAGGGAGGCAGCCAAAAGGAGGAGATAAATAAACATGTCCCAAATGAAAGAACAGAATAAAATCCAGAAAAAGAACTAAATGAAATGGAGACAAGCAATCTACAGATGCACAGTTCAAAACACTGCTTATAAGGATGCTCAATGAACTTACAGAGGACCAACGAGCATTAAAAAGGGCCAGTCAGAAATGAAGGAGACACTAACTGAAATAAAGAATAATTTACAGGGAATCAACAGCAGAGTAGATGAAGCCCAGAATCAAATCAGCGATCTGGAATATAAGGAAGCAGAAAACACCCAATCAGAACAGCAAAAAGAAAAAAGAATCTAAAAAAATGAGGATAGTATAAGGAGTATGTGGGACAACTTCAAGCGTGCCAACAGTCACATCATGACTGTGCCAGAAGGAGACGAGAGCGAGGAAGAAATTGAAAACCTGTTTGAAAAAACAATGACAGAAAACTTCCCTAACTGGGTGAAGGAAACAGACATACAAGTCCAGGAAGCACAGAGAGTCCCAAACAAGAGGAACCCCAAGAGGCCCACACCAAGACACATCATGATCAAGATGCAAAAGGTTCAAGACAAAGAGAGAATCTTAGAAGCAGCAAGAGAAAAGCAGCTAGTTACCTACAAGGGAGTTCCCATAAGACTGTCAGCCGATTTCTCAAAAGAAACTTTGCAGGCCAGAAGGGAGTGGCAAGAAATATTCAGAGTGATGAAAAGCAAGAACCTACAACCAAGATTACTCTATCCTGCAAAGCTGTCATTTAGAATCGATGACCATAGAAAGAGTTCCCCAGACAAGGAAAAGCCAAAGGAGTTCATCACCACCAAACCAGTATTATATGAAATGTTGAAGGGTCTTCTTGAAGGAGAAGGGGGAAAAAAGATAAATAATATGAACAATAAAATGGCAATAAATACATATCTACTAAAAATTTAATCTAAAAAACAAAATGAACAAGCAGAACAGAAATAGACTCACAGACACAGAGAACATTTGCTGGTTGCCAGACAGGAGGCGTGTGGGCAACTGGGTGGAGAGGTGAAGGGGGTGAGAGGCACAGACTGGTGGTCACAGGGGAGTCGCGGGGACGTGAAGCGCAGCAGAGGGAGCAGAGTCAGTTACATCCCAAAATGTATGGATGTTGTCGGGTGGGGACGAGATTTATCAGGATGATCACTTACTATGGGGTATACACCTGAAACTAATATAATAATGTATTCAACTGTAGTTGAAAATAAAAAATCGTAACAAAATAAAAAGATTCCTAGCCAGTTTGCTCCTGTTTGGGGAGGGAATTTGGTTCTGGAAAAGAGGACATGGAGAGAGGCCCTCGGATGGAGCGACGGGAACAGGTCTGGCGGGAGGGCTGACCGGACACTGTCCCCAGGGAAGCTCCTGGCTCTCAAAGGGGCCCAGGCCGAGGGGCCGCAGAGACCCCAGGCCTCTGTTCCCGCTGCCTGCCTCCTGCTCTCAGATCTTCTAAGAAAGGCTCTTGTACAGAAGCTGCAAGGTCGGGTGGCTTCCAAGTTTCCTTGGAGAAATGCCAGACAACTGAAAAGGTTTCGGATTAAAATCCCTATAAAAATAAAAAAGAAAAGTATACACCTGCACTGCAGTGTAAGTGGACAAAGATAACGTCCTGAGATCTAACCTCTGAGTGCCAACAGAGTGCCGACTTGACCCTTCTCCAATGCAGTGACCATGTCAGTGTCCAGCAGCAGCCGCTCAGCAAAGGATGAGGTCTGAGCCCAGACAGGACTGCTGAGCCCGCGCACCCCAGCACGCGCACCCCAGCATGCGCGCCCCAGCACGCGCACCCCGGCACAGAGCCGCGGCACAGCACCCCCACGGGCAGCACACTGACAGGTCGCGGTGAGAGCCAAGGTCCCGACTCCTCACCGCACACGTCCAAGCTGACGTCCAAGCGGAGACGCGTCTTCCTTCAATACGGAGCAGTGGGAGCTCCCCCCACCCTGTGCCTACGCGATGAGGAGCCTGTGCCCGGGGCGAGAGAGGGTTTGATGAAGGGCCCTGGACAAACTCCCTGAGCAGTTTCTCTCTGTCGACGTCAAAGAAAACACTCGAGGACTATCTGCAACTCCATTAAGTGTTGAGCGAGTGCTCACATGGACAGCACTTGAATGAAACCACGGACCCAGCCATCCACTCTTTCACCACTAGTGGATG